AGTCAGTCGACTTTCCTGTAGTTCTGGGTAATGTCCATTTTGTATTTTAATGAAATTGTTGTGTGAGGCTGCAGTTAGGTCTTTACCTATGCCGCCATCTTGGTTTCTCCTTTAAAAGGTGTTCATTTATTTTAAATCTATCGTATACTAGAGCCTTTATAACTAACCTATTAGTTACATATTAGTAATATAATTACAGTTATTTAAATTCATTATCTGATAGTTGGAGTATCCAGGTCATTTCTGATTCTGGCTCTGTTGAGTGCTTTGTCTCTTGGCAATGAGTTGTTTCCCCACTCCCCTTCCTTGCTTTATTATTATTACTAGAGGCCTGATACTTGAAATTTGTGCAAGGGGCTTGGCCCTCACTGAAGCCATCTGGAAGGTCATTCAGCTGTCTGGTCTAATTTGCATATTACCCTTTTGTTATCGATTTTTTTGTTAATCCCCATTTGAGGATATTTTCCATTGATTTTTATTATTTTTCTTCTGTATTTTAAATACATGTTATTTTTATTTTATTTATTTATTTTTAAAATATATTTTATTGTTTTTTTTTTTATAGAGAGGAAGGTAGAGAAGAGAGATAGAGAGTTAGAAATATCGATGAGAGAGTGTCATCGATCAGCTGCCTCTTGCACGCCCCCTACCGGGATGTGCCCGCAACCAAGGTACATGCCCTTGACAGGAATCGAACCCGGGACCCTTCAGTCCGCAGACTGACTGATGCTCTATCCACTGAGCTAAACCGGTTTCGGCTATTTTATTTATTTTTTTAAATATATTTTTATTGATTTCAGAGAGGAAGGGAGGAGAGAAAGATAGAAACATCAATGAGAGAGAATCATTGATTGGCTGCCTCCTGCATGCCCCCTACTGGGGATCTAACTTGCAACCCAGGCATGTGCCCTTGACCAGAATTGAACTCAGAATCCTTCAGTCTGCAGACCTACACCTGAGCCAAACTGCTACGGCTAAAATATGTTTTTATTCATTTTTTTTCTTTTAGAGAGAGAGGAAGAGGGAGGGATAGAGCGATAGAAACATCGATGACAGAGAAATATAATTGATTGGCTGCCTCCTGCACACCCTCTACTGGGGATTGAACCCGCAACCCACTTACACGCCCGGAATAGAACCTCTGACCCTTTGGTGGGTGGGCCAACACTTTAATCGCTAAGCCGCACACCCAAGACTTCCCTTGCTTTTTAATGTAATTTTGAGTAAATACTGGACATTGTGTTCAGGACAGTTCAGAATGAGGAAAATAGTATTTGTGTGTTGAAATAAGAACACCTCTTCAGTTAGATTCTTATTGTGGGGAGTTGAATCAGTCTAGTCAGGAGTTGAGCTAGGTTCAGTTTTGTTATTGCTCTGGTTATCTTCTAGTTCACTGATTCTTGAGCTGTGTTGAGTGTACTGATAAGTCCACTGTGGATATTTAAAAAAATATTTTTATTGATTTCAGAGAGGAAGGGAGAGGGAGAGAAAAACATCAGTGATGAGAGAGAATTCGGTTTCAAATTTCTCTAGTGTTACCTTTTGCATAGCATTGGGGCTGGGTTTCTGCAGGGTTTTCTTAACATTTCTCCTCTGCCCTCAGCTTTTGGTAAGCTGTGTGCCTATGTCTCAGAGAGTGTCTGTGCTTTGCCCCTCTCATAAGCAGTAGATGCAGGTGCTTTCTAGCCTGGCAGTGAGGGTAGGTGTGAGTTTTCTGTCATCCCAGCCTCAGTCTGATGCAGGCGCTTTGCTTGTGGGTCTTGGAGATGGAGCTTTCGCATTGATTCTGCTCTCCTCTGGAGGTAGCAGACTTCTATTGTTCTAGGTCTTGGATTGTGTCTTGTCTCTCTTGTAGGGTTAGTGGTGTTTTCTCTTCTCTTTCTCCAGCCTTAGGGGGTCTTCCTCTGTGTTCTAGGGATAATAGGGTGCTTTTTTTTTTTCTTTTTTTTTTTTTTTTCCAGTTTCTTAGAGTTTGGTTCCACTGGGAAGAAGGGTCTGGATGAGGCTTTATGCTGTGCTCTCCCACAGCCATCTCCTTTTTGAGGCCTGCACCACTTATTCTTTCTCGGGAGCATGGAGGTCTGTGAAGAAAACCATGTGTGGGTGCTAAATCCTTTTGTGTTTGTAGCTTCCAGGCATTTTGTACTTACACCCCAGCCTTTTACAATTTGTAAGAATTCTTACCTTCTTCTATGCTGCTTGTTATTTCTTTTTCCATGATCATGCTAACATTCTGTCTCTCTCTGGAGGTGCCCATCTCACATGGATTTTAAGCTACTTGGATACTCTGTAATCTCAGCCCTCTGATGGATTCAAGAATAGTTATGCTTTTGTAGATTATTTATCTTTTTCTTACTAGGGTGCAAGGAACACTGTCCAGCTTTTTTGATTTTAGCTTAGTCTCCATGTGTTTTCTGTTATGTTTTTCAAATCTGAGCCTAATCAATGTGTCTTCATTGTTGCCCGTAGTGTTGTGTAAACAGTGCCAATAGAATTTTGTCATGATCTGTTCAGAGATAAACTTTACCATTAGTAAAATGTAATTTATAAGATAGCTTATGCTCAAGAAGCAGTATAAATTCTGATTTATGAAATTACTCTTGCTGCTACTAAATAGGAATACTAAAATATGATAAACAGCAATAGCTCAAATTTATTGTGTTCACTATGTGACAGGCATTATGTTACGTACATGTAGCACAGTCTCTGATGTGTTTTCCTCCCCCTCTTCAAGGAGGCAGCCTGTTGTTGGTAATGGGGTGGTTGTACAGAGTATGAGCAGGTGCCACTCAGCTCAGCACAGCTTCATTTGTCCTCCACAGTTCTTTTTTTGTTTTTTTAAAGTATATTTTATTGATTTTTTACAGAGAGAAAGGGAGAGGGATAGAGAGCTAGAAGCATCGATGAGAGAAACATCGATCAGCTGCCTCCCGCACACCCCCTACCTGGGATGTGCCCGCAAACAACGTACATGCCCTTGACTGGAATTGAACCCAGGACCCTGCAGTCCCCAGGCCGAGGCTCTATCCACTGAGCCAAACCAGTTTCAGCTGTCCTCCACAATTGCTAGTGACACTTTAAACTCAAGATAGAGTCTCACTGGATTTGAGAAACTTAATTCTTACTGCGCCACAGCTTTTATACTCAAAGGTTATGTTACAGTTCAGGAAGCGCTTATATGAACAAGAAATGCCTTTAATCTGACATACATCTAGCCCAGCGGTCATCCACCTTTCAGACCTCACAGACCACCAGTTGGGGACCACTGATCTAGCCCCTCTTGGCTCTTGAGTCAGAAAGCAGAACCAGAACCTTCCCCGACCCCCCCCCCCCTTTTTTTTTTTTTGGTCTGCAGCTTCTTAGCAGTCTTAGAAGACTGCTTTCTGTGGAACCTCTGTTTACTTCTTTTCACAATGGCCTTTTGATACAAATAATGTAGATCCTATTTTACAGCGAAGAATTTGAGTAATTTGCCCATTATCATGTAGCTTGTAAAGGAGCAGGAGCAAGGTTCAAACCAGGCTGCACTGTAATGTTATTTTCTGTGCAAGAAAGAAGGTATTACTGCCCCCCCCTCCCCTTGAACCTAGGTGCAAAACCCCCTATATTTAAAGAGTAGTATTTTTTGTTACGAGAGAGAGAGAGAGAGAGAGAGAGAGAGAGAGAGAGAGAGAGAGAGAGAGAAACATTGATGTGAAAGCAAACCTCAATTGGTTTCCTCCTGAACATGCCTGACTGTGAATTGAACCCACAACCAGAGTATGTGTCCTGACTGAGAATCAAACCCACTGCCTCTCGGTGTACAGGACAATGCTCCAACCAACTGAGCCACATCAGCTAGGGCTAAAGGGCTGTATTTTTAAATTAGTGATGGTGTAATTTGCGTCTAGTTTATTTTAGCTTTAAAGAGAAAATAAACTGTCTTCAGATGAAATTTTTATATCTAGAAAAATAGACAGGGAGGCAGTTTTTTAAGACATTGGATCAATATTTTATATTGCTGAACCTTAAATGTCAGGCCCTAAGAGCTGAAAACTGGAATTGAAACAAAACAATTAGGCCCTTTTACAACTTTCCCAGCATCTTCAGTCCCTTTCTTTTAGGTCTAAAAAACAGTGTGTGTATTCCACCACAGGTAAGTTAGCACTGGACTGCCTTTAGTAGTAGTGGAGAACTAGAAAGTATTGTAGGTCTGATGGCATCAAAATGAGGCCTTGTATGTGGGACTCTTCTGAAACAGTTGGGAAACTGAAATTCTATGTAGTTGTAATTTCAACATTTGTCAGCAAGAAGGTGTGGGTAAAGTGTGCCAGTGGTGGAAATGGAAGGAGTTAATGTTTATTGGTACTTAATTCTTTTTTTTTTTTTTTTTAATATATTTTATTGATATTTTACAGAGAGGAAGGGAGAGAGATAGAGAGCTAGGAACGTCGATGAGAGAGAAGCATCGACCAGCTGCCTCTTGCACATCCCCTACTGGGGATATGCCCGCAACCAAGGTACATGCCCTTGACCGGAATCGAACCCGGGACCTTTCAGTCCCCAAGCCGACGCTCTATCCATTGAGCCAAACCGGTTTCGGCATATTGGTACTTAATTCTTGAGTGTGATTTGTTTTCCGTTGGTTGGTGTTAATGAGGTCAGGCTTTTGTGTTAGATAATGCGGAGGGCAACCTACTTTCAGCAGCACACAGGCTTTGCCTTTGGTGCTAGTTGAAAGCTGTTCAAGTAAGAAGATGTGTGTGTATTAGCATAGAATCATCGCCAGTAAAAAACCATATTTTACTAATGGTGGGGTATCAGTGTCATGTTGACATTTTGAGACTAGCATTAATATAGAGAGAGCCTAGTTATAAATGTTAGCATTACATGGCATTAACCTCAAATGATTTAATAGAAAACTTTCATTTACCTTTCAAAACAACTGAGTTGTAATACCAATCTTGAGTTCAGGGAATTTTCAAGTTACTTAAATATCTTTGTGGCTCTTCTTTTTCAAGCTCCCAATTGAAGACCTATGCAACTTAACGTCCCAGTCGCTGCCCATCGCACAGACTTCAATAGTTCCTGAGTCCACAGAAGACATTCTCCTGAATGGTTTTATTTCATTAGAAATGGAAAAAGAAAAAATAGAAACGGCACAGCAGGTGAATGGCAATATTGTTTCTAAGGATTTTGATTATTTTAAATTAAATGTTTTGACACAGGGCTAATAAGATCCTAATTAAAAGTTCTGAACTTTTGAAACTATACAGGGTGGGACAAAAATAGGTTTAGAGTTGTTTGTGTGGAAAGTAATACAATAATAACACAAGAATAAGGTGTTTCGTGTACTCACAATTGTAAACCTACTTTTGCCCCACTCTGTAGTTAAAATTTTTTAGAACATTCTTGATTTTGTGTTAGTTGTGGCTATTAAGTATTTCAAATGAACCTTTTGCCAAATTATATTTAGAATACAGAAAAAATATATTTCAAGTTTAATTAAGGTTTTAGTATTTTATGTACTTTTGACTTCACCCAGTGTATGTCTATGTTATGTTCCCCTCCAGCATGCAGTGTGTGTGTACATACACACACAGACACAGGCACATACCATTCTATTTTTAGGTAAATTTATTTTATAATTTATCTTTATTGTTGAAAGTATTACAGATGTCCCCTTCCCGTGTACCTCCCATTGACCCTTCTTCTCCTGCCGCCTCCCCAGGCCTTCATACACTATTGTCTATGTCCATGGGTTATGGCTAGGTAATTAAAAACAAAACAAAACTAAATATTCTCTTAGATGAATGCTTATAGCTACTTTTAGTAATGTAGCCTGTGTAATCTCCTTTTTCTTTTTTGCTTATTCCTGATTGAAAATCTACTATATGTTAATAGTTTCTTCTGCCACTTCCTCTGCTCCTCTTTCTGTTTTGTGAAGAATCAAAGCTGAGGCATTTACTGAGTAAAACATAAAGCACATGTGCTGACCTGCATGTACAGTAAGCTGAGGGAAGAGATGCAGTGAAGTGATTAAGAGCTCTAGCTCGAGTCAGGCCCTGGATCTGAAAGTCACCTGTGTTGCTTACCATCTTTGTGAGCTTAGGGAAATTACTTCTTATTCTTAGGTCTTCAGTTTCCTTATGAGTAAATAATAATTATATACCTATATCATAGGATTTTTGTGAAAATTAAGTAAGATAATGCATGTAAATGCAGTATGTGGCAGGCACATAATCAGGTTTCAGTAAATGATAGCTACCGTACTTGTCAAGCTTAGTATCTTGAGAGAATAAAGCATATTTTGACTTTAACCCCACTTGAGAATTATAGAAGATAACTTGTACCAGGTTGGTGAACTACTTGGACTGTTAAAAAAGTCATCTGGATTAAATTTGCACTTGCATATCTCTTTTTAAATTTAGAAAAATCTAATATATTGAGTTATAATTTATGTACAATAAAATGTAATCATTCTAGGTGTACACCTTGGTGAGTTTTGACTTGTGTAAGATATAGACAAGATATAAAACATTTCCATTGGCCCAGAAAGTTCCCTTATACTTGTCATGGTCATGGTCAACCTCTCCCATCTCTTTTTAATAATAGATATTTTCATAATATAGGGCCAGAATTCAAATTTAGAATATAAGAGCCATGTTCTTAAACCAGTCTGTTATATTATTTACTGGAGGCCCGGTGCACGTAATTTGTGCACGGTACTGTGTGTCTCTCAGTTCAGCTTGCACCCTTTCCAAACTGGGACCCCTTAAGGGATGTCTGATTGCTAGTTTAGGCCTGATCCTAGTAGGATTGGGCCTATATGTGCAGCAGGACATCCCTCTCTTAATCCAGGACCACTGGCTCCCAACTGCTCGCCTGCCTGCCTTCCTGATTGCCCCTAACCGCTTCTGCCTGCCAGCCTGATCACCCCCTAACCACTCCCCTGCCAGCCTGATTGATGCCTAACTGTTCCCCTGCCAGCCCGATTGCTCCTAATTGCCCTCCCTTGCAGGCCTGGTCCCTCCCAACTGCCCTCCCATCCTGGCCTGATCACCCACAACTGCCCTCCCTTGCAGGCTTGGTTCCTCCCAACTGCCTTCCCCTTGGACCATCTTTTGGCAGCCGTCTTGTGTCTACATGGGGGCAGCTTGGGTCTTGGAGTGACAGTCAATTTGCATATTACTCTTTTATTAGATAGGATGAATTTATATTTTCACAATTTTTACTAAATAATACTAATATTTACTCCAAGCCCAATGTTACATACTCAGAATTGGCAAACTAGCAAATAGGCTTCAGCCTCTTAGGAAGAAATATATATATATTTTGTCTTTACTTTTATTGGTAATTTATTTTATGCCGAATTTACTCCCAGGCCATAGTTTTTGTTTCTTCAGTTTCTTCTGGGACATCCCTATCTTCTGTGCCACCTCCTCTCTGGTTTAGAAACAATCTGCTCTTTTTCAGCAAGTCCTTTCTCTGTGGCAGGGAGAACTCATGTCTGGGCTCTGTAAGTTCTACACTGCATCTCGGGAGCTCTGTTCACCTAGATGTGCTCAGTGACCAGAGAACCTACATCTAAAGCTTAAGTTCAGCAGTGCTCTCTGCGTTTTTAAGCATGTGCAGCAAGAAGTCAGCATTCTTTTTCGGCCACTGACCCTGTGTCCGGCCCCACTGTTTTGCCTGGGCACATCTACCAACTCCACCATTCTCACGATGGAATGGCACACATTGCTTCTGTAAAGGGACAGCCTTCAGATACCTGGTGGCTTTTTGAATATGCATACCATGGTGGCTTGGGCAGTTTCATGTGTGTTCATAAAGTGAACATGAAGATTTGAGCCTCTTGATTTTGTGCGGTTTTCTGGGTCTAGTGAATAGTGAACCATTTTCAGAGGTCACCTCTGGCCGCTTTGGAGAAGAACAGAAATATTTCTTGTGTATTATATCTTTAATACTCTTTTTAAATCAACCCTGAAAATGACCCATTTTTTCCTCTTTTATTGAATTTACTGGGGTGATACTGGTTAAGAAAATTATATAGGTTTCAGGTGCACAATTCCACAACACATTATCTGTACCCTGCGTGTTCACCACCCCAAGTGTAGTCCCTGTCCATCACCATTTGTCCCCCCATACCTTTCTCCACTTTCTCCTCTCCTCCCTCTCCTGGCAATCACAACACTGATGTCTGGGGCATTGTTTTTAATATCCCTTGCTTTTTCTAGCATGTAGATTTGACTATACAATTAAATTGGCCCTGTGTTTAAAACCCATTATTAATGTCTGATCCCCAAACAATAAGAATTAGTGTTATTCTTTTGGCTTGCTGTTTAGCATGTAGCCACTTTTCATTTTGTCTGTTTTAGTTTTGTTGACCATATAATATTCTTTATTTTTCCAGTTTTTCTCATGGTTTGCAAAGCTACAAACTCAGATGGATCAGGATGAAGAAACTAAATATAGGTATGTGGCTCTTGAATTTGTTGGCTGTCCTAATTTTTAGATCACAGTCATCTGAAACATTTTGTAACCTGTGTCTCTAAATAAAATTAATGTACAAAGAAAAATCCAACAGCAATATCTTCTTTAAAAATAGCCAGGAGAGAATTTAGTTTAACTGATATTAAAGCTGTGTAATTGAAAAAAAAAAATTGCATTGTAATTAATAAGTTGGGGGGGCTTTAGATAATTCTAGAAAGGTTTGGGTTCAAGTGGTAATTGTACAGGAACTCTAAGAGGTGTTTGTTGCCTTTCTTTAGAAGGGGAGACCTAAGAGATTTTATGGATGGCCACCTATATACATGTAACTAAATGTGTGTATGTGTGTGTGTGTGTGTGTGTATGTATATATATATTTTATTTTATTTTATTTTATTTTAATTTTTTAAATTGATTTTAGAGAGAGAGAAAGAGGGAAAGATAGAAACAACGATGAGAGAGAATCATTGATCAGCTGCCTCCTGCACACCCCCTACTGGGGATGTGCCCGCAACCAAGGTACATGCCTTTGACCGGAATCGAACCGGTGACCTTCCAGTCCGCAGGCCGATGCTCTATCTACTGAGCCATACCGGTTTCGGCTAAATGTATATATTGGTAACATGGGAGAAATGGTGGTGTACATTTTCTGGCGAATTTGGGGACTATGGCTTGCATTCAGTGAACATTTATTGAGTGATAGTAATTGCTAAGCATTTGATGTATGATTCCATTTAATCTTTATAGCAGCTCTGTGAGAAAAGATAATATTATTCCCATTTTACAAATGAGCAAACTGAGGCCTAGAGATATCAAGGAGACTTGGGCAGAGCTGGGATTTAGACTTAGGTCTTCTAATTTTGAGTCCAAATTCTTCCCATGACATCACACTACCTAAGGTGGAAGTGAACTGAAGGATTGACCTACTTGCTGCCTTGGGATGGGTGGTCCTTGTGTCCCAGACTTTGAAAGTTGAGCTGGTGATTTATTGCCTTACATGTGAAAAGCCAGTTTATGGCTTCAAAGCTGATTCCTTTTGTTGCTCCTTTTAAAAATTAAAAAAAAAAAAAAAGTATTTATTGATTTCCGAGAGGAAGTAAAAGGGAGAGAGACTGATAGAAACATTATTCATGAGAGAGAATCATTGATTGGCTGCCACCTGCATGTCCCACGCTGAGGATGGAGCCTGTAATCCAGGCATGTATTCTGACTGGGAATCAAATCATGACCTCCTGGTTTATAGATCGACACTCAACTACTGAGCCATACCGGCTGGGCTTTTTTTTTTTTTTTTTTTTTTTTAATTGTTTTTATTGTTGTTGTTGCTCCTTTTAGTTTCAATAATTTTCCTTCTTAAGTTTGAAACAGTCTGTAACATAGCTTTTGATAGATTTCTGAATATAATGAACTGTAGTGAATAGGCCTGACTCCTCCTGAAATTCAAGTGTTTTGAGGCGGAAATGAGACTTTGTTGTTTATTTTCTATGTTTATTGGGGGAAAATATTATTGCCAATCCCCTTTTGGTTCTGTTTTCTAGACAGATGAGGGATTACTTGTCTGGGTTTCAGGAGCAGTGTGATGCTATATTGAATGATGTAAACAATGCTCTTCAGCATCTGGAATCATTGCAGAAACAGTATCTTTTTGTGTCCAACAAGACAGGAACACTACACGAAGCCTGTGAACAGCTCCTAAAAGAACAGGTAATTTGGAGTAAGAGAGAGAGTCAGTAATTATACTGTTTTATTTTAAAATAGATGAATACTGTTTAATTCTAGTTTCCTTATTTCTCCAACTTATATATTGAACAGAGCTCTATATAAGGTCCTGTGCTAATAAGAGTGCAAAATATATGGATAGTCGTCTTTTCATTCTAAATAAGCTTATCTGAACAGGGGCAAGGATAAGTTTTCCTATGTTTTGAGCTACTAGGTCTCAGTACACTTTCAGAGTGAAGAATATATATTAATTTGTTCTGTCTGCTCTTTATCATTGATACTTTTGAAACAGGCATGGCGATTATGCATAATGACGGGGTTTAAGAAAAGATGAAGTGATGTTGGTAGTGTTTAAATTGTGACTTAAAGATAGACAATTTTTGTTACTATGTTTATCTCAGAGTTTTCTTTATGTGTGTTCTGTTTTTTAAAAGGCATATATATATATAATTTACTGTGATAATCATTGCTGATTTTAGTCCATGATTTCAAAAATCTTTGAGCATTATCCTGAAATCTTACGTCTTATTAGAGAAGCCTGGTGCACAGCATTTGTGCACTGGTTGGGTAGGGGTTCCCTCAGCCTGAGACCCCTTGGTGGACATTCTCTGAGGGGTCCCTAGTGCTGCCTCAGAGGTGGGAGAGGCTCCCACCACCGCCCCTGCACTGGCCAGCCATGATCTGGCTTCTGGCTGAGTGGTGCTCCCTCTGTGGGAGCACACTGACCACCAGGGGGTAGCTCCTGCATTGAGCGTCTGCCCCCTGGTGGTCAGTGCATGTCATAGTGACCAGTCGTTCTGCTGTTGGGTCAATTTGCATATTAGCCTTTTATTATATAAGATGTATATCAATTCAGATTATTTTTGAGACTAGAGTGTTGATTTTTATGTTCTTGTAATAACTGATTTTTCTCTTTTAAAAAATGCAAGTCGGAACTTGTTGATCTGGCTGAAAACATTCAACAAAAGCTTTCCTATTTCAATGAATTGGAAACTATTAACACAGTAAGCATGTTTTTTATTTTTTGTAAAGTTAGTGACTTTATTTTGTATTTCCCTTTTTGAGTATAATCTTGAAACCTGTAAATTGGCTTGAGTGATATTTTAACTTAATAGTTTGCTTGCTAAAAGTATTCCTCTTTGTGGCTGATGGACATACCATTACCATTTCAAACTTTTTTTAAATATGATTTAAGTAATAGTTCTGTTTAAATTGTATTTCTGTTACAAAAAATCTTTTTGTTGTCTGGCTGGTGTGACTCAGTGGTTGAGTGTCGATCTAGGAACCAGGAGGTCATGGTTCCATTCCTGGTCAGGGTACATGCCTGGGCTGTGTGCCTGGTCCCTGGGGTGTGTGGGAGGCAGCTGATCAATGATTCTCTCATTCTCTCTCTCTCTTTCTCCCTCCTTCCCTTCGTTCCTCCCTCCCTCCCTCTCTGAAATAAAAAAAAATATGTTTAAAAATATTAAAAAAATCTTTGTTGGTTACCTCTTATAGTATCTTATTTATAAGCTGTGAGGAAAATTATAAGAAATATCAAAATTTTAAAATCTTGTTATGGCTGAACTACTATATATATAAAAGGCTAAGTGACCATCTGACCATCCTACCTGTAGTGATGACATGTCTGACCACCAGGGGGCAGACGCTCAATGCAGGAGCTGCCGAGCTGCAGTGACTTGGCAGTGGCGGTTCTTGGGTGACACACCCCGGAACTAGAGAGATGGGAGCCTGATTCTGGGATGCGTCACCTGAGAACTACCCTCTCATAATCTGGCACCCTCAGGGGATATTGGAGAGCCAGTTTTGGCCAATCCCCACAGGCCAGGCCGAGGAACCCCACCTGCTAGAGGGACCCTGCTCACTCTGCAGACACCCTTCGAGCCTCAGTGTCACCCCAGGTGCAGCTGGCTGGGAAGGGACCACAGGAGGTTGGATTCAGGGTGTGTTCAGCCTGTCTCGCCCAGTCCTGACCTGCTGTCTACCTTCTAATTAATTTCCTTTGAATATACATGAATCCGTGCATGGGGCAGTAGTAATAATAATAAAAACATGTTTTATACTAATCTTATACGTATCAATAGTATGAGGAAAAGTATAATCCTCATAACATATTCTTTAAACAAATATATTTTACTGATTTTTTTACAGAGAGGAAGGGAGAGGGATAGAGATTTAGAAACATCAGTGAGAGAGAAACAAATGGCAGAATAACCAGAACGAGGCACTCCATGGAGGGCTGGGACCCGAGCCTGACCTGTGTAGCGCCAGCTGCTGTGTTGTGTCCCCTGAGGTGGGGGCAGGCACTCCTGTGTGTTGTGTCTCTGCTCCGGCCCGCCCCCAGCTCCAGCCTTCCATGTGTTGTGTCTCTACTCTGGCCTTCTGCCAGCCCCAGCCTCCCCACGGCCACTGGGGCTGGGGGCAGCATGCATTCCTTTCCTGCCCATCTGTGTGTGCAACTCCTCCTGAGTGGTCGTGATGCCTGGCTAATTATCATATTCCCTGTTTCTTATATATATTTATATTATTACATATTGTATGTTATATTGTTTTATGTTTTAATATATAATTATATATTAAGTGTTAAATTTCACACATATATATTACCTATACTAATATTGTTTTTTTTTTTTTTTAACAATTTTTAATAGATTTTATTGATTTTACACAGAGAGGAATTGAGAGGGACAGAGAGTTAGAAATGTTGATGAGAGAGAAACATCTTCCAGCTGCCTCTTGCACCCCCCCAACTGGGGATGTGCCCGCAACCAAGGTACATGCCCTTGACCGTAATCGAACCCGGGACCTTTCAGTCCGCAGGTCGACGCTCTATCCACTGAGCCAAACCGGTCCCAGCACCTATACTAATATTGTTAATATTATTACTTATATGCTTACTTATATTTTACTTTCATAGTATGACTGACTGCTACTTAATCCTTTAACCTTGGGAAAATAGCTAGTGTTTGAAATTAGGAAATTTATGTATGTTTTTTACTTTTTGTAAAGTACTAGTAAATGGGAAGTTTAGCTACTTGATGTGTTGTTATTATTATTATTATTTTAAATAGGAACTTAAAAAAATATATTTGATTTTTTTTTTTTTTTTTTTTTTTTTTCTTACAGAGAGGAAGGGAAAGGGATCGAGAGTTAGAAACATCAATGAGAGAGAAACATTAATCAGCTGCCTCCTGCACACCTCCTACTGGGGATGTGCCCACAACCAAGGTATATGCCCTTGACTGGAATCGAACCTGGGACCTTTCATTCCACAGGCCAACTTTCTATTTATTGAGCCAAACAAGTTAGGGCTTGATGTGTTATTTTAATATAACATTGTACAATCGAGTAATAGAAAATATTTGCCAATTCATCAAGAGCCCCATTAAAACTTACTAAGAATAAACTGAATCAAATCAATATTCTTTTTGTTGTTGTTTTGTTAATCTTCACCTGAGGTGAGAGCTAAAGAGAAAGGGAGGGAAACATCTGTGTGAGAGAGACACATTGATTGGTTGCCTGTCACACCTCTGAGTACAACCAGGGCCGGGAGTTGAACCTGCAACCCAAGTATGTGCCATTGACTGGGAATCGAACTCATGACCCTTTGGTGCGAGGGCTCTAACCACTGAGCATACTGGTCAGGGCAATATTCTTTTTTAGATGTTCTTTATTGTTACACATGGGCTACACTTGAGAATATTTTGGTCACTCAAAATGTAAAGACATTATGCTTGGCCGGTATGGTTCAGTGGTTGAGCATTGATCTATGAATCAGAAGGTCATTGTTTGATTTTTGGTCAGGGCATATGCTTGGGTTGCAGGCTTGATCCCTGGTGTGGGGCATACAGGAGGGAGCTGATCAATGATTTTCTGTCACCATTGATGTTTCTCTCTCTCTCTCTCTCTCTCTCTCTCTCCCTCCCTCCCTCCCTCCCTCCCTCCCTCCCTCCCTTCCTCTCTGAAGGAATAAAATATAATACTAAAAAATATACTAAAAAAAAAAAAAAGCAAAGACATAAGTATAACTATATTATATCCTAAAAGGATATATGCTAATTCATATATTTTTGCCTACATATATATTTTAATGAATTAAGGTCTTTTCTTTTTTCCTTAAAGAAATTGAATTCTCCTACATTGTCTGTGAATAGTGAAGGATTTATACCTATGCTGGCCAAGTTAGATGACTGTATAACATATATCTCATGTCATGTAAGTTATGTTATTTCTGTATATATTTTTAAGAAACTTTAGCAACCCTATTAATTTGCTTCTTAGGCTATAAAGTGATTATTTCTTCTGAAGAAAAAAAAATATCTCTAATGTTCTTGAAGAAAAACTGGTAAATTCTTAGTCATTATTAATGAGAGTGATGTAAGAAGTATATTCAGCTGCCGAGGCAGCCCCTGGAGTAGAATGAGGTTCTGACTGACAGAGTTTTCCCATCTGAAAGAGTGAGCACTTTTCAGGCTGTTGAATTACTGTTGTGCTAGATATTATTCTCCAAGGATTTATTTATAGCTGTATTTATTTCCTCCAACTCATATTCTTTTCTAGTTGAGTCTGACATATTAGCTTTGAAATCTATGGAGTACTGAAAATATCTTTTGCTAAAAACTACAAGTATTTATTGAGCCCCTATTTTGTGCCAGGCACAGGGGACTTGGCTGTGACCAAGGCAGTCACAGTATTTGTCTTCATGAAACTTTTAATCTGCGTAAGCCCTTTTTTAGAGTTTCATGTATAGCTTTACTAAAATAAAGGATGTTTTGGTTTTCATTGAAAGTTTGCTTTGTCAATATTTGTTTCCTTTTGTAAATCTTTTCTTTACAGCCGAATTTTAAAGATTATCCTGTTTATTTACTGAAGTTTAAGCAATGTCTTTCTAAAGCTTTGCACCTCATGAAGACATACACTGTGAACACTCTACAGAACCTCACAAATCAGTTATTAAAAAGGGTGAGTTAACTGGTGGGGTTTTTGATTCATTTATCTTCTATAATTTTAGTCTGAGAGTAGTACTTAGTAAATCCAAAACATTGTTTACTGTTTGTTAAATAAGAATATGCATTGGCATTCGTAGATGACCTGCTTCTGGGTCGGGGTCTCGTACGTGGCAGAGCAGCTCCCTCGCTGTGATCTATTGAAAGTCAGCCCTCGACACAAGGGTTTGAAAAAAAAAAAAATGCAAATAGAGAAAAAGAGAAAGAATATGCATTGAAGTTGTGTGTGTGTGTGTGTGTGTGTTTTTAATATTTTTACTAATTTCAGAGAGGAAGGGAGAGGGAAAGAGAGATAGAAATATCACTGATGACTGATCTGCTGCCTCCTGCATGCCCATTTCTGGGGATCGAGCCAGCAACCTGGGCATGTGTTCCTGATCAGAATAGAACTAGGAACCCTTCAGTCCACAGGCCTACACTCTACCCACTGAGCCAACCGGCTAGGGCAGCATTGCAGTTTTATTTATAATAGGAAAAGTGGTTGTATTGTATCTTTCTAGCAGAGTCTTACTTTTAAAGAATATATAACAGTGTGGTAACCATTCAGTACTAATGATAAGTAATAAAGTTTCAAACTATTTGTTACTTAAAACATTTTCATGAAAATATTGGAAGGAAATATACCAAAATATAAAAGATTCTATCTGAGTGGTGGGATTACACATGATGGATACTTTGAAATTTTTTTCTTTATGTGATAATTAAATTTTCTATGGTTAGCAAATTTTTTTTTTTTTTTTTTTTAGTATCTCCAAAAGGTTTTGCATTGTTCCAGGAATTATACAGTAGTGAAAAAGGAGCTAACAAGGTCCCTGCACTCATGGAACTTATTTCAGGAGATATAATCAGTAAAGAAGGAAACACAAATTAATCATTTGCAGATTGTAGTAGATGTTAGGTTAGAAAATAAGAATGGAGCTATCTAGGATGGTCAATTGTTTGCTAAGAAAACCTGAAAGATTATGCATTTTATTTTATTTAATTTATTTATTTTCTAAAGAACATTGAATATCTCTGACCTTTGAGTTCAAAGCCACTGATTTTTGGGTTCCATTTTTACTCTTCATATTGATCTTGGCTAACATAACAGCCAGACTATATAATTTTTCTATTTTGTAAATTTATTTATTTATCTATTTAAAATACATTTTATTGATTTTGTACAGAGAAGAAGGGAGAGAGAGAGAGAGTTAGAAACATCGATGAGGGAGAGTCATCGATCAGCCGCCTCCTGCACACCCCCTACTGGGGATGTGCCGGCAACCAAGGTACATGCCCCTGACCGGAATTGAACCCGGGACCCTTCAGTTCCCAAGCCGATGCTCTATCCACTGAGTCAAACTGGTTTCGGCTTGTAAATTTATTTTTTATTTTCTAAAATTTAAATTAAAAATTTTTAAATCTTTATTGTTGAAAGTATTATATATGTCTCCATTTTCCCCCATTGATCTCTGCTAGTCCACCCCTTCCCCCCACCCCAGGCCTTCACCACCCTATTGTCTGTGTTCCTGGGTTATGCATATATGCAAACAAGTTCATTAGTTGATCTCTTCTCACCCATGCCACCCTCCCCTGCCTTCCCTCTGAGGTTTGACAGTCTGTTCATGCTTCTATGTCTTTGGATCTATTTTTGTTCATCAGTTTATGTTGTTCTATTTTGTAAAATTTTTAATAAGTTTTGGAAACTAATACCTAATAAGTACTGCTACCTGCTATGTATAGTGCTTTACTATTGAGCTGCATAACGACTTTATGAGTATAGGTCAGTGTCGGCAAACTCATTAGTCAACAGAGCCAAATATCAACAGTACAACGATTGAAATTTCTTTTGAGAGCCAAATTTTTAAAACTTAAACTTCTTCTAAAGCCACTTTTTCAAAATAGACTTGCCCAGGCCGTGGTATTTTGTGGAAGAGCCACACTTAAGGGGCCAAAGAGCCACATGTGGCTTGTAAGCCACTGTTTGCTGACCATGGTATAGGTTATCACCATTTAATGGATGCTTTGAATCTGAGAGAGGTTAAGTAATTTGGCTAATGTCCTAGCCTCAGTAAATGACTGAGTATGAAGCTGAATTCAGATCTCTTTACTGCCAAAAATTCATGTAACATGGGTAAGTTTTAGTTATAAAAGAGAGATGATGGTTCCTCATAATTATTTCTCATTTGTAGTAATAATAATATTAATCTCTCTCTGAGATTTTTCTCTCTAAACTTTCGGTTGGTGTATAAGCCAAGAAGTAGCTATTTGAAATGATGTGCATCACATTTTCTGAATACTTATTTGTTTGCTAATTATCTTCCTTTCTTATCCTCCCCCATGTTTCTTTAGGATCCTTCATCTGTACCTAATGCAGACAATGCTTTCACACTATTTTATGTGAAATTTCGAACGGCTGCTCCCAAAGTCAGAGTAAGTCTGTTGTTATAAATAGAATAGTGGTATGAAGTTTATTTAGCCATCCCTTTGGAAGTACTATTGTATGTTAGGCCCTCTGCTTATACCAGAAAAATGAACATAAGTGAAAGAAAGGTAGGCATTGCCCTTTCACATTACATTGCATTATCTGAGAGTGCCTTCAGACCACGGAGCAGCAAACAGCTTCTAAGATGCTTAGGAATGCTTCTAGATGAAGGAGATATTTGAGCTTAAACTACTCAGATTTATAGTGGATTGGAGGGGATTGATTACTTATAGAAAATAAAAATGATTAATAAATATGAGCTCGTGCTTAGCTTCAGGGGAGAATACATTCAATTTAAGGTTAGGTGGATTTTTTTTTTTTTTTTTTTTTTTTTGTCAGAAAATGGGAGGATTTAATGAGATAGGCAATACTGCTAATAAGGGATGTAAAGCAATTTCTCAAAAATATTTTGGGCCTATAAAAATATTTATCTCTTATAACCCAGTATTGGGAGTTCCCCACTGGATAGCAGGTAACTATTATTATATCAGCTTTATGTGGTAGGAAGTGGAATCTCAGAGAAGTGAGCTAGCTCTCCTAGGCTCAAAACAGCTACTGGGAAGGTGGCACTCAGACCCTTCAGTTTTTCTCTAGACCCAGATCACTGGCCAAGATGTCTAACAGTAAAGAATGGTTGCTTTATGGTACATCTACCCTAGGGGATATTATGTAGTCATTAAACAAATGGTTTTTGTTTTTCATTAAAAATATATTTTTATTGATTTCAGAGAGGGAGGGAGAGAAATAACAATGATGAGAGAGAATCATTGATCAGCTGCCTCCTGCACACCTCATAACCTAGGAATCCAACCCGTAACCTGGGGATTGTGCCCGTAACCCGGATAAATGCCCTTGACCGAAATTGAACCTGGGACCCTTCAGTCTGCAAGCTGACGCTCTATCCACTGAACCAAACTGGCTAGGACTAAACAAATGTTTTAAATAATATTTATAATGATGATTCACTGAGTTTCCTAGATACCCAGTCATTATGCTAAGATTCTCTATGTACATTTTCATCTGATAATGAAAATTTAATAATAGGAAAATGTTTTGAAATACAGTTAAATAAAATATATATTTTATTGATTTTTTTACAGAGAGGAAGAGAGAGGGATAGAGTTAGAAACATCAGTGAGAGAGAATCATTGATCAGCTGCCTCTTGCACACCCCTACTGGGGATGTGCCCGCAACCAAGGTATATGCCCTTGACCGGAATTGAACCTGGGACCTTTCAGTCTGCAGGCCGACGCTCTATCCACTGAGCCAAACTGGTTTTGGCTGAAATACAGTTAATTTTTTAAAAGCAGATTATAAAGCTGGATATGTAGTATAATTCCAATTTTGTTTAAAAAAAGAAAAATATAGTCTTGGCCATTGTGGGTCAGTGGTTGGAGTGTCAACCAAAGGGTCCTAGGTTTGATTCCCTGTCAAAGGCATGTACCTGGGTTGTAGGTTTGATCCCGTGCGAGAGGGAACCAGCTGATGTTTCTCTCCCCTGCCCCTTTCCCTGCTCCCTCCCTTCTACTCTCTCTAAAAATCAACAGAAAAACATCCTCAGTGAAGATTTAAAAAAAGAAAAATATAGTAACTATAGTGTGTGTATACAAAAAACTGGAAAGATTATTCTAAAATATTAACTGATTATTTTGTGGTATTACATGTGATATTTATGTTTCAACTTCTTTGAATTTACTAATAGCATGTGCTATAATCAGAAAGTAGTGAATAGTCCATAACTAAAACAGATAGATTTTTAATGTGTTTTTCTTTATTCTGCAGACTCTTATTGAACAAATTGAACAGCGATCTGAAAAAATACCTGAGTGAGTACCTAAATGTTCTTCAGTTTCCAAATTACATTCCTCTTGAAGTACTATTTTTCCCCAGTCTATTATGTAATTTTCTGAGCAATTACCTTGCATACTACATAAGCTGCTGCTTGTAGCACATCCTTATTGTGGGGAGTGGTTGGAGACCTGATATAGTGAGTGTGCAAGGCACACTCTATTTATTTATTTACTTATTTTTATTGAGGAATAATGATACACAACTTACTATTCAATATTTCATTGCTATGAATCTAGATAACATCCATTACCATGCATAGTTACAAATTTTTTTTCTTGTGATTATAACTTTCAAGATTTACTCTCTTAGCAACTTTTACATATGCAGTGTAATATGATTCTATGCTAATTGACCCTCATGTCGTCGCAAAGATGGTGACAGCCAATAAGGAGGGAATATGCTAATTGAATGCCACCCCCCCCCAAGATAATGGTGCCCACAGCCAATAAGGAGGGAATATACTAATTGACTGCCCTTCCCTCAAATATGACCATGCCCACAGCCAGTAAGGAGGGAATATTCTAATTGCCACACCCGCAAAGATGGTGGTGCCCACAGCCAATAAGGAGGGAATATGTTAATTGAATGCCATGCCTTCAAAGATGGCAGCACCCACAGCCAATAAGAAGGGAATATGCTAATTGACTGCCATGCCCTCAAAGATGGCAGCCACACGATGGTGGTGCCCAGTCCCCTCAGCCCCACGGGGGTGTCAGGCACACGGCAAGGCTGGGCCGACCCCCAGCCCGCCCAGGGCCGGCCCAAGGCACAGGCAACCAGGGATGGCCAAGGCTTGCACTGCCGGCATTGGCAACAGCAGCCTTCCCTCCCTCAGTTCCAGTGCATGAATTTTCATGCACCAGGCCTCTAGTTAACTATAATTGCTATGCTCTACATTTCAGCAAGGCATCTCTTTTTCCCCATAGCAGGATTTTCTTTTCATTTGGATAGATGTAAGATGTCTATTCTTGGAAGAGAAATCTTTCATTAAAAAATAAAGGTTTAAACTCCAAAGTTAGAGATTTTAATTTATAAAATGAATACACACTCATATTTAGTTTAAAAAAACAAAAATATAAAGGTCATGACACCATAGTTTATTATGTGTATCTTTTTTAAATTTTTATATTTTATTGATATTTTACAGAGAGGAAGAGAGAGGGATAGAGAGTTAGAAACATTGATGAGAGAGAATCATCGATCAGCTGCCTCTTGCACATCCCCTACTGGGGATATGCCTGCAACCAAGGTACATGCCCTTGACCGGAATCGAACCTAGGACCTTTCAGTCTGCAGGCTGACGCTCTATCCACTGAGCCAAACCGGTTTTGGCTATGTGTATCTTTTTATTTGTTTATTTTTAATTAAAAAAATTTTTATTGATTTTTTACAGAGAGGAAGGGAGAGGGATAGAGTGTTAGAAACATCAATGAGAAAGAAACATCCATCAGCTGCCTCCTCACACCCCCTACTGGGGATGTGCCTTGACCAGAATTGAACCGGGGACCCATCAGTACACGCTGTCGCTCTATCCACTGAGTCAAACTGGTTAGGGCTATGTGTGTCTTTTTATATACATAAATATTTCTAGTATTTAATGTGGGCAAATGAGAGGTGACCTTATAGCATTAGAGGTTTGGCAACCTAATCTGGGACTTAAGATCAGATTTAATTTATATATCTGAAATAAAAGTTATACCCATCTCATTTATTTTTCATCAGATACCAACAAGTGCTAAATGACATCCATCAATGTTACCTTGATCAGCGGGAGCTCCTTTTGGGGCCTAGTATTACTTGTACTGTAACAGAGCTAACCAGCCAGAACAATAGAGATCATTGTGCCTTGGTAAGTTTCTGCTTGTCTTGTTTTAACCCTTCCTCTGAAATATTTTGAAACCCTAGAAGCTATATTTGGTTAAATAAGTTTGTTTTCCAAATATACAAACTTAGAGAATTTTTCTTTCAGTTATGACAAATCTTGTTTAGTAATTAGCATTCAACTTGGCAAAATATTCTCGTTTTGATCTTCTTTTTGATGTATGAAAATTCACAAACAAGTATTGTTCCTTGAAAGATGAAGTTTCAAGTTTGTGGATTTCTCTTAGCTTTTGCTGCACGAGTGTTCTTGTTTAGTGTGATTTTAGTTCATATTATTAAAGTACATAAAGATTCTTTTTAAGTACCCCCTATTCAACTAGAAAAATAATTTATTTTCATTGTCAAAAGTTTGGAAAATGCATAAAGAAGAAAATAAAAATCACCCATATTCATATTATGCAGTCAGCTATTGAAAACCAATAATTTTCTGTGCTTAAGTATGTTATTTTATGTATATACTAGAGGCCTGGTACACAAAATTTGTGCACAGAGGCCGGGGGGTGGTGGCCCTCAGCCCAGCTTGTACCCTCTCCAATCTGGCACCCCTTGAGGGATGTCCGACTGCCCGTTTAGGGGCCTAAACGGGCAGTCGGACATCCCTCTCACAATCCAAGACTGCTGGCTTCCAACTGCTCACCTGCCTGTCTTCCTGATTGCCCCTAACCGCTACTGCCTGCCAGCCTGATCACCTCCTAACCACTCCCATGCCAGTCTGATTGATTTCCAACTTCTCTCTTGCCAACCTTTTTGCCCCCAACTTCCTCTGCCGACTTGGTCACCCCTAACTGCTCTCCCCTGCAGGGTTGATCACCTCCAACTGTCCTCCCTTGCAGGCATGTCCCCTCCTAACTGTTCTCCCCTGCTGGCCATCTTGTGGTGGCCATCTTGTGTCCACATGGGGGCAGGATCTTTGACCACATGGGGACAGCTATCTTGATCTTGTGTATTGGAGTGATGGTCAATTTGAATATTACTCTTTCTTTAGTTAGGAAATAGAGGCCTGGTGCACGGGTAGGGGCTGGCTGGTTTGCCCTGAAGGGTATCTCGGATCAGGATGGGGGTTCCCTTGGGGTATGGGGCAGCCTGAGGGAGGGGCCTGTGGTGGTTTGCAGGCCAGCCACGCCCCCTGGCGACCCAGGCAGAGGCCCTGGTATCTGGAATTTATTTACCTTCTAAAATTAAAACTTTGTAGCCTGGAGCAGAGCCAAGCCTCCTGCTCCATCCTTGGCTGTGGCTATTTCTATTATTGAAACTTTGTATCCTTGAATGGAGGCCTGGGGCTGCCAGAGTGTGCAGAAAGCTTGGCTGCTTCTGTTGCCAGGGAAACCCAAGCCTCCCTTCTAGTAGCCATCTTGGTTGGGTTTATTTGCATACTTGCTCTGATTGACTAGTGGGCATGGCTTTTGGATATAGCAGATTGATGGTTAATTTGCATATTATTTTTTTATTAGGTAGGATGTGCATAATCTCTTTATCAATAAAATACTTGCTTTATTTCATGAACACTAGAATTGTTGTGTGTCTTTAACTGTAGGTGGTGTTTCTTTCTTGCAGATTCGCAGTGGCTGTGCCTTTATGGTCCATGTGTGCCAGGATGAGCACCAACTTTACAATGAATTTTTCACAAAACCAACATCAAAATTAGAGTAGGTAGTACACAGAGTGTAACTCTTGTTTTTAAGATTTAATTTACTAATGATTATAATGGCTTATTATGACATGGGAGTATTCTTTTTTTTAATTAAATATATTTTATTGATTTTTTACAGAGAGGAAGAGAGAGGGATAGAGAGTTAGAAACATCGATGAGAGAGAATCATCGATCAGCTGCCTCTTGTACATCCCCTACTGGGAATGTGCCCACAACCAACGTACATTCCCTTGACTAGAATTGAACCTGGGACCTTTCAGTCTGCAGGCTGACGCTCTCTCCACTGAGCCAAATCGGTTTCGGCAACATGGGAGTATTCTTAAATTACTGCAGAGTGTTTTAACTTTTGTGGGTGTGTGAACAGAATACTTTTGAGTGGGATAGTGTTTGTTTATTTTAAGATGAATGTGTAATTTAAAGGCCAACATGCTTTTATATTGTTATAATCATGGAGATAATATGGTATGATAGTAAGAATCCTAAATAGAGAAGTAAGTCTTTGGATCCCTTTATCTCCATCAAGTAAATAAATCCTTCTAGTTAAAAAATTCTGCGTTTCTAACTAACGAAAGACACCTAAAAATATAGACATTATTTAATAACCTTTAAAAAATTTTCCCCCAAAATGCCTTTCTGATCTACTATTATTAACTTTTGGTTTCTTCTTATTGGCAACTTAGACTGCTATAAAAATTCATCTTCATTATATAATGTTCCCTATACTATTTCCTAGTAGATTTTTTTACTATGGTTATTGGCTGGAAATAAAAAAATGTCTTTTAAACTGGAAAGATTGCTACTAAACCATCTTTTATTTCTTTATTTTAGTGAACTTTTGGAGAAATTGTGTGTGTCATTGTATGATGTCTTCAGGCCATTGATCATTCATGTTATTCACTTAGAGACACTTTCAGAACTTTGTGGGATTCTTAAAAATGAGGTGCTGGAAGATCATGTACAGAACAATGGTAAATGATAAGTACAAGTCATTTAATATCTGTGGGATTCAATTTATTTATAAAATGGGGATGATAACCCAATTAATAAGCTGGCTTAGCTATCTCTCAGGATTGGTCTGAAGCTATATAAGATAACTTAAAAAGGGCCAAATACTTTAAAAGTCAAATTTGATTATTCATACATATTAATAATAGAAATAATTCCACAGAGTCCCAGGAAGAAGATGCAAGGGCAGAGTTATTTTCCAATTGTAAATTTGAGGAAATTGAAAGACATTTATTAAATTTTTTAAGGTCATTGAGTCACACTGAAATAGAACTGTACAACCTCAGGCCATGAAGCAAAAATGGCTCATACTGTTACTAGACAATTTAGTAATATATTTGCTTTTAAAGAAAGTATTTTTCTAAATCTGAAAGAATGAATGATTGTACTTTTTAAAAATCAGCTGAACAACTCGGAGCCTTTGCAGCGGGAGTAAAGCAGATGCTGGAAGATGTACAAGAGCGGCTCGTCTACAGAACCCACATCTACATCCAGACAGACATCACTGGCTACAAGCCGGCGCCTGGGGATCTGGCATATCCTGATAAGTTAGTGATGATGGAGGTGGGTTCTCCTTACTGATCTCATCCCTCCCCCTTCACTATTTTCAGGATTTTTCTTTTTAATTCTCACTCAAAATGTAAAATCAAGATAAACCTGCCACAAAATCATAGGAAATAAAATGTGAAAAAATTGAACAAATAATTTGGTAGGTTATCTCTCTTTCAAGTTGTATTTGATAAACATTCTGTTCACTTTTTCCCCCATTTCTAGGAAATATGCATTCTCAATTTTTAAATTGATTTAGTGCTTCCTGTGATTTTTCTTTTTTCTTTATAAGTATGTTGATAACATGGAAGCCACCACAGTTAATGGTTATGTAGTAACCCCATGTCATTGTCCCAAAGAACCCTGGGAGATTGTCTCCTCAAAATTATACAGTACTGATATTCAATTTATGGTTTGAAGACTTAAGTTTTATCTCACTAATGTTCCTTTGAGTGCTAGACAGAATTTAAATAATGCTTAGGATATTAGTGTTAAGCTGGAATTAGAACCTAGAACTTCTTAAGTGGAATTTTCAAATGTAAGCAAAAGTAGAATAGCATAATCAACTCCTGCATATCTTTACCCCAGCTTCAACATGGCCAGTCTTGTTTCACTTAGACCTTTCTTGCTTCCCCTCCTCACCATTAGCTATTTTGGAGCAAATTCTAAACATCATTTCATTATTTTAGTAGGTAACTATATGGTAGGGCACTTTTTTTATTTTCAACACAACCATAATACAATGATCACATCTAAAATATTATTTTTTATTTATTTATTTTTATTTTTTTAAAAATAAATCTTTATTGTTCATATTGTTACAAAAGTTCCTCATTTTTCCCCCCCCTCCACCAGGTTCCCACCCCACCCTCTGCCCTTTCCCCACCCCCCATTGTCCTCATTCATAGGTGCACAGTTTATGTTCAGTCTCTTCTGGCACCCCCCACTTCCCTTTCCCCAAGAATTATCAGTCCACTCCCCTTCCATACTTCTGATTCTATTTTATTCACCATAAAATATTATTTATAATTCCTTCATATCATTAAATATTCAGTTGAATCTAGAATTTATTCAGATTCACCAATTGTTGAAGTCTTGTCACATTTACTTAATTTTTGTGTGTGTGTTTTATTGCTCAACTATTTGAAAATAAGTTATAGACATCATGATACTTTACTCCTGAGTATTTCAGTTCTTATTTTCATAAGAATAAAAACATTCTCCACATAATCACAATTCAGTTTTTATAGCTAAGAAAATTAACATGAATTCAACAGTATTATTTATGTACAGTCCATATTCACATTTCCCCAGTTGTCCTTCTAATTGGATCAGAAACTTAAAAATTTAGCATCCAGTCAAGGTTTTTGTGTTGCCTTTGTGTGTTTTTTTAAATTAAATTTACATTAAAAAAATTCTTTATTAAGGTACATTTGGTTTTTATGTCTCTTTAAATCAAACCCAGACTCTTTGCCCTACCTTTTTTCCCCTCCCCAATGACACTGACATTTTTGAAGAGAGGAAGCTAGTTTTATTGTAGAATGTACCACATTCTAGCTTTGCCTGTTTTCCTTATGTTTAGAGTCAAGGTTAAACACTATTTGTTTGTTTGTTTATTCATTTAAAGAATACTGCATAGTTGATGTTGTGTACTTCTGACTTTATTGCATTAATGGCACATAATGTCAGTTTTTATACTATTGTTTAAGATAGTGATAATTCTCTCCACTATGAAATTATGTGAGTTCCCCAACATCTTTTCACCCAGTAGTTTTTGCAACTATTAATGATTTTTTCCTGAACCAGTTATTATTGGGTCGGCAGCTAAGTAATTGCGGATTTTTAAAAGAAAAAGACAATTTTTTCATGGAACTAAATAACTTTATTCTGTAATGTATTGCCCATTTTGATCAATGACCTATTGCCATCTTTCAGGCAGCATCATAATCCCACGTTCAAAAAACTTCTGGTTTTTATTAGCAAAAAACTGAATCAGGTACGATTTGACATCATCATCATTATTGAAATTTTTACCATTCAAGGAGTTTTGTAAAGATCGAAACAAAAAGTAATCAGATGGTGCAAGGTCAGGACTATATGGTGGATGTGGCAAAACATCCCAACCAAGCTCCGTTAATTTTTGCCGAGTGACCAAAGATGTGTGTGGCCTTGCATTGTCATGATGGAATACAACACCTTTTCGATTTGTCAATTCGGGCCGCTTTTCTTCAACTGCATTGTTTAATTTCGTTAGTTGTTCAATGTAGACATCAGAATTGATCGTTCGGTTGGGTGGTAAGAGTTCAAAGTAGACAATTCCTTTGTAATCCCACCAAACTGATAACAAAACCTTCTTTTGATGAATATCAGCTTTTGATGTTGTTTGAGTTGGTTCACCTGGCCTGCTCCACGATCTTTTCCGCTTGATATTGTTGTAAACAACCCATTTTTCATCGCCAGTTATCAGTCGTTTTAAAAATGGATCATTTTCATTACGTTTCTTTAGCAAATCACAGCTGCTAATGCGTTGCGTTAACTGTGATTCTTTCTGTTCGTGAGGAACCCATGTATCGAGTTTTTGAACATAGCCAAGTTGTTTTAAGTGATTTTCAATGCATGTATGTGATACATGAAGCTTCTCTGCAATCTCACGTGTTGTACTGTGACAGTCCGAATTGATTATTGCTTTGATTAGGGCGTCATCAACTTCAACTGGATGACCAGAGCGTTTTTCATCTTTGAGTGAAAAATCACCAGAACGAAATTTGGCAAACCAATTTTGACACTGCCGTTCTTTTAAGGCTTCGTCACCATAAACAGCAGATAACTTTTTATGAGCTTGGGATGCGTTTTTCCCTTTGCGGAAATAAAAAAGCAAAATATGACCAAAATGTTCCTTTTGATTTTCCATTTTTCAACGAACGCCAAACGAAAACTACAAAACAGATCAAAAAACTTTTTTTACTGATTAACAGCTGAATAGCCAACTATCAAATAACAAAATATGTTTTACATTTGTACTACGTCTGCAAACCTAAAAATTCAACTGAAGCCATATATGTGTGAAACCCGCAATTACTTAGCTGCCGACCCAATATGTTTATGGTAGCAAATGGTGATTAAAAAATATTGATTCCAGAGAGGAAGGGAAAGAGAGAAACATCAGTGGTGAGAGATTGATCAGTTGTCTCCTACATGCCCCGCACTGGGGGCCCAGCTCACAGCCCAGGCATTTGCCCTGATTGGGAATGGAACCATATCCTCCTGGTTCATAGGTTGACACTTAACAACTGAGCCACACTAGCCAGGCAAATGGAGATTTTTATATCTGCCATTTCTTCTACATTTATTAGTTGGCCTTCTTTTGTAAAGAATCAATTTCTCCATACCTATCTCTTCCTTTCCGTCTTCATCTGTACACTAGTGGATTTTTAAGAAACATTATAAATCATTGCCAATATAATTCTTTTTTATGCTTAAAATTGTCCCAAATTTGATGAGTGGAAGCCCCTTTAAATTGGCTTCTATGACCTTTTAACATGTCCTGCTATCTTTTTAAAATTTTTTATTTTGGTTGATTTTAGAGAGAAAAGGAGAAGGAGAGATAGAAACAGCTTTTATTATTCTGCAGGCTCGTAGTAGAAATTATCTTTTGGTGTCTGGGGATTGCTAATAGTAACTCCAGAGAGCAGATGGACAGACCATTTATTTGCAGGAGTTACCTTGATTCTTAAGGCCACAAAGTGGAAATGATGAGCACTATGTCTGTTTCTCAGCCTGATCTGTGCTCTCTCTCATTCCTCCCTCCCTCCCTTGTTTTCTTTTATGATATTTGAAATTTGAATACTTTGTTTCTGAACTTAAAGTTGAAAATTGTGTTTTTTATATGAATCTTATATATTGGAGCTCTTACTGGGTAGTAGTTCTGAAATTAGTGGTTCAGAAAAGGCTATGTATGCACTTATGAGAACAGAGACACTCTATATACTAATTTAAAATTTTTTTAATTTTCTAAAAAATTAAATTAGTATATAACTTTTGTTTTGGCATAGTTCTCTTACTTAAAAGTAAAAAAAAATTATTAGTATTTTTTACTTTATAGAAATAGTTATGTTCATATTGCCAAGCAGCTGAAAACTATACTTTAATGTTTCTTCTGATCTCCCTTTGTAGCAAATTGCACAGAGTTTAAAAGATGAACAGAAGAAGGTACTTTCAGAAGCTTCATTTTCAGATGTTCGGTTAGAAGAAACAGAGTCTAATAATCTGACAAAATCTGGTATGTTGTAATATTTTAACTTCCAACTTTTATGTATTCATTTGGAAAGCTTTGATTGAAGACTTGTCATATCTCAGGCATGAAAAACAGCTTGTGCTTTTGTGGAGCCCACTCTTTAGTGGGGAGAGATTGACAACCCATAGACATACCAGTAATTCAGTGGTGACATGCTAAAGGTATGCACAGGCCACTTTTAGACCATGTAAAAGGGCCGTCAGAATTATGAAGGGGAAGAAAATTATGAGGGGAGATGAAATTTGAGTGCAGAAAGGTTGGTTCGGTGAGAGGTGTGGTGTCTGAAAGCTATAGTGTTTATAAAGGTGAGTGTGAGAAAGCCAGAAGTAAGGTTAAGATGGAATAGGATGGAGGGTGGCATGTGGGAGTGGAAGACTGTGGCTGCTCTGGGAAGTCGGTGCCTGGGACTGGGGTAGAAAAAATTAACAGAAATGTAGGGGATAACTTGGACTCGAGTTACGCAAGGAGCACACTTGTCCAATAGTAATTCTGGGTACTCATGAGTTACCTAGACAACAAGCTAGATGGGAAGTAAGGCATCCTTTCTCCCCACCCCTAGATGTAAAGGTAACACTAAAGCTCAGCTCTCAATTGTACTGGCTGTGAGTGGGGGACACTGAAACTTCATGTTCTTAAAAGAGCCAAGCCTCCCAAACCCCCCAGGTTTAGGGCATTATGAACACATTGCGGATGGATCATGAGAATTCTCACTTCATATTACACAGTGTTTTAGAAAGTATCCTACTTTAAAGATAATTAGCTTGTTAGAACATGTAATTAATAACTTCAAAATGCAATGGGTATTTAATTTTAAAGCATGTCTTTAACATTTATGTAAAACGTTTTTTGTACTTGTTCAATAGAAACTTTTCTGGCCACTGGGTAAAGCTAGCAATAAAACTACTGGTCCACAATGTGTTAAGTATTCTGAGTCAACCCCATACCCAGATTGCTGAGCAGCCTGGGTATTCCCCAAACCAGTGGTTGCCAACCTTTTGGACCTCATGGACCACCCCAAACTATTTTATTATGCTTACTTGGAAGAGAGACCCACAGGGGTTGGAATTTTGTCCTCTGAAATAGAGTCTATGGCACATCCTAGTGTACCTCTCTTGGTGCTAGTATATATCTTAGTCCTAGTAAATTTCTTCAAGAGTTATTGGAGACTAGAGTACATTTTTGTCTTACCACCCCTGGCCTTGTATGTTTTCCCTTGCCCCCACGAAGCCTATTCTTTAACTGAACTGATGCCTAGCTTTATCATCAGGTATTGTTGGCAGAACTGTAGAGACTGGTTTGGAGGTTGTTTCTTTTGAAAGAAAGGTGGTTTGAACCAGGGTGTGACAGGGGGATGAAGAGAAATGTATAGAATCTATAGATAAAAGATATGGTTGAGGTTTGAATCAAGAGAATTTGATGACACTATAGGTGTGGGGCTAAGAAGATTGAGTAAGGTCCATATGAACAACACAGAGCATCTGTGCTATATGGATCTAGGACTGTTGTCCAGTATGGCAGCCACCTGGCATTGAATATGTGAAATATAGCTAGTCTGAGTGTGCACAGGCACGTAAAATACACACCAGATTTCAAAGACTTAGTATAAAATAAAGGAAAATATATTATTAGTAATTTCTTCATTGATTACATGTTACAATGATTATATTTTAGATATATTGGATTAAGTAGAATGTATTAAAATTGCATTTACTTCTTTTTACTTTTTTTAATGTAGCATTTTAATGTCACATTTATGGCTCACATTATATTTCTGTTGGAAAGACTACTCTGGAGCTATAAAGTGGGTGACTGGTTTAGAGATTAAGATTGAGGTAGTTGATTACCCTGGGACGGAGAGTAGAGTAATAATAGCAGAACTGGGGAGAGTGTCTCAGCAGATGCTGACATTAAGGAGCAAATGGAGGTAGAGGAATGCTTAGGGTTCACTGACACAGAGTAGCCAGAGAGGTTAGAAGCAGGCAAGAGTCCAGGGTGTGATGTGAAGCCAAAGGAGGAGGAGTCGACAGTATGTTTTAGTAAACAGGTGAGAAATAGAAAATCATGGAGATGTTGTGGTCAGAGAGTAGGACTCTGAGATTTAACAATCAAGAGGTGCGGTATTTTGGAGTATAATAAAGTCTGTAGAAAGTAATTTTGAAACAAAGTCAAGAAAATCTGTCCATATGGTAGGTGGTGAGGGATGGAAGTGTAAATCTTTGGAGTTGGGAAGGTCTATAAATGATACTGCTTACAGCATGGAAGACAAGCTGTTAGACAAACCAGCTTTGACTAGTATTCCTGTTTAACACTGCTTTGCTTGTCACTCCCTGACCTCCATGGATTCCCACTTGCTTCCATGTGACTATATATATATTTAATAGATCTACCTTCTTTTTAATGGCTGCATGGTATTCTGTAACATGTATATACTGTTCACGTCATAAAGATTATTGATCACAGTTTGGGAAAAGCAATTAGGTTGAGTATGAGAGCACATGTGAATACATACATCCTATATAATAAAAGCCTAATATGCTAAAGGTTCAACTATTCATTCTACCAGTCACTATGACACACACTGACCACCAGGGAGCAGAGCTCCAACTGGTAGGTTAGCTTGCTGCTGGGGTCCGGCCAATCAGGACTGGGTGAAACAGGCCAGACATGTTCTGGAGCCCTCTCATGGTCCCTCCCTGGCCCCATTGGCCCCATTGGGACTGGATGAGATGGGCTAGACATGTCCTGTATGAATCCATGCTCCCAGCGGTTTGGGCCCAATTCCTGCAGGCCAGGTCGAGGGACCTCACTGGTGCACAAATCCGTGAACTGGGCCTCTAGTACTAGTCTATACATACTATGTTAAATTTCACCTGCCCCTGTTTTAGGTTTCTTATGGCATTCTTGATTGAAGGTGGGGTTAGAGAAAGTGGATGCTCTAACTAACGGTAGCTAATGAGAACAGTTTATAGTTGCTGTGTAAATAAGACAAATCTACATGTGAGTAAAATGTGATTTCTTTTCCATTTGGGTTTTTAGGTTCAACAGAATCTCTCAATCCTAGACCACAGACCACAATTTCTCCAGCAGATCTTCATGGAATGTGGTATCCTACAGTTCGACGCACTCTTGTCTGTCTCTCTAAATTGTACAGATGCATAGATGTATGTGTAAATTGCGTTATCCTTATCTGTACAGTAAATTGTTTTTATACATGTATCTGTATATATTATTATTTTTTGGTTAATCTTCACCCGAGGAAATTTTTTCATTTATTTTTAGGGAGAATGGAAGAGAGAGGGAAAGACAGAAACATCGATGTGAGAGAAACACATTGATTAGTTGCCTCCTGCACAAACCCTGACCTGGTTCTGGGCCAGGGAGGAACATGCAACCACAGTATGTGCCCCTGACTGGAATTGAACCTGGGACTCTGCTCCGCAGGTCGATACTCTGTCTATGGAGCCAAACTGGCTAGGGCTAGAAATATTTTTTAAAAATATATTTTTATTGACTTCAGAGAGGAAGGGAGAGGGAGAGAGACAGAAACATCAGTGATGAGAGAGAATCATGGATCAACTGCCTTGAGCACACCCCACTCTGCGGATGCAGGCGTGTGCCCTGACTGGGAATTGAACCTTGTGGTTCAAAGGTCGGCACTCAGCCACTGAGCCATGCCAGCTGGGCTCATTAGAAATATTTTATTTTATTTTATTTTAAAATATATTTTATTGATTTTTTACAGAGAGGAAGGGAGAGAGATAGAGAGCTAGAAATGTCCATGAGAGAGAAACATCGACCAGCTGCCTCTTGCACACCCCCTGCCAGGGATGTGCCCGCAACCAATGTACATGCCCTTGATCGGAATCGAACCTGGGACCTTTCAGTCCACAGGCTGATGCTCTATCCACTGAGCCAAACCAGCCAGGGCTAGCATTTTTTGATTTCATGCACAGTGTTCTATAATTTAAATTTGTATTTTATTTGTCAGCCCCTTCATTATTGAACATTTAAGTTATTTCAGTATTTTTATTTTATTTTAAATAATATTGTGATGAAGAGTTACATACATGACTCTTAAAATACACTACTCATTAATTACTTGAGATAACTTTTTAGAAGTAGATTTACTGAGGGTTTGTTTTAAAGTTGGCTTTATATGTTTTTTAAAAATTTATATTTTATTGATTTCAGAGAGGGGGAAAGAGATGGAAACATCAATGATGAGAGAGAATCATTGGCTACCTTCTGCATGCCCCCCACTGGGGATCAAGCCTGCAACCTAGGCATGTGCCTCCACCAGGAATCGAACCGTGACCTCCTGGTTCACAGGTTGACACTCAACCACTGAACCACACCAGCTGGCTTGGCTTTATATGTTTATAAAAACCGCCTACAACATGAGATCATATTGGAGTGAGAACTCTATGAGGTCAGAACCACGTCAGCCTTGTCTCCCCACCACTGGAGAGTATGTAATAAAACATAAGTATGTAGTGAAAACATTTTTTTCATTACAGTTGTACTTCTAGCAACTAGCACAAAGTTTGGCATGAAATAGGTGCTCAGGAAATATCAGTAAAGGGTCACATGAGTGTTTTGAGAAATGCAAATCACGAAACTTTGTGTTGGTCTAGAAAGGTTGCATGGGAATAGGAAATTCCAGGAGGAATGTTGCCAGTAATATAAATGATTCCAATCCCTCAACCTATGATCTTTTTTGTTTGTGAAGTGCTACAGTGTGATGTTTCTTTTATTTCACCAGAGGGCAGTGTTCCAAGGATTATCACAGGAAGCCTTGTCTGCCTGCATTCAGTCGCTACTTGGAGCATCAGAATCTATCAGCAAAAACAAGGTTTGATGAAGTGTTAGGTGAAACCTTGTTACCTATAATAATATTGGGGAATTCAGCATTTATGTATAGGCACATATTAGGTCTAGTAATAATTAATGTCGTTTTCTAATACTTTTTTAAATTGAATTTATTTAAACAATACAACAAAATTTAATTAACAATATAGTTGCCGTAGTTTTCTACTACTTGTGCCCAACGCTCAGGAAGCATTTTAATCCCTCTGTTGTAAAATTCTTGTGATTTTGATGCGAAAAATTCGGTCAATGCATTTTTGAGGCATTCTTCATTATTAAATTTTTTTCCAAGAAGAAAGTTTTGCAAAGAACGAAACAAATGGTAATCGGAAGGGGCAATATCAGGAGAATATGCAGGTTGAGGGAGAACTTCCCATTCCAACTGGCGCAGTTTTTCAGCAGTGATTCTTGCAGTATGCGGTCGTGCGTTATCGTGGTGAAGAATTACGCCCTTCCGATTAATCAGCGCCGGTTCTTTTTCTCTTAAAGCTTGGGCTAACCTTTCCAATTGGGCACTATACACTGCACTTGTAATGGTTTGGTTAGATGGTAAAAGTTCATAATGAAGAATTCCTTTAAAATTCCACCAAACACACATCATCACTTTTTTCGTATGCAAGTCAGGTTTTGGCGTGGGCTGCGGAGCCTCATTTTTGTCCAACCATTGAGGCCGCCTTTTCAAATTAGCATACAGCACCCATTCTTCATCTCTGGTAACAATGTGCTCTAAAAACGGCAAACGGTTTTGACGAGAGAGGAGCGAACTGCAAATTGTGACTCTTTGATTACGGTTGTTGTCGGTCAACTCATGAGGAACCCATTTTCCAAACTTTTGGATTTTGCCAAGTGTACGCAATTGATTGGAAATTGTTTTTTGTGAACAATTTAAAGTTGTCGCAAGCTCTTGTTGGGTAATTTGAGGATTTTGCACCAAAAGAGCTTGAAGAGCTTCTTGATCAAAATTGGACACACGGCCTCGACCACTCTTGTCATCTAACGAAAAATTTCCCTTGCGAAATTTCTCAAACCAACGCTGGCATTTTCTGGCGCTAACTGCATCTTGACCAAGAGCACTACAGATGTTTTTTGCAGCCTCACTTGCTTTTCTTCCTAATTGGAACTCGTAAAGCATGCAGTGCCGAATATGCTCTTCATCCGCCATCTTCTTAGCCCTAGTTTTGCAACAAAAACCAAACCAAACAAACTTTTTCAAGCAAAACTTGTTAATTGCACTTCACACGTTCTGTAGATACCACGTGTTTGAAGGTTATGTCAATACAAGTCAACGCCAAGCAAGATTTTAAACAAATGTTTAAAAACGACATTAATTATTACTAGACCCAATACATTTAAAGGCATTTTGGCAGGAGGATTTCTTTGATTAATGACTTAATTTTGAGAGAAGCTAGTATTTCATTATAGTGGTAAATAAAGATGATACTGTGTAAGAGAACTCTTAAGTTTGCTAAAGCATCAAAAATAATAATATAGGTTATAAATTCTGTAGTATAAAAGATTCTTTTTAAAGCCTTAGTAACTGGGGAGGTGCTGGATTGCTGTTTTCCTTAGAATACCAAAATGGGGTTTTCAAGTAAATATAGCAAATTACTAGTATAATAATACCTACGATGATGTTTTATTTTACACTGGTGTTTTAAATACAATAGTTTAAATAGCCTCACTTGGAGGAAATCAGCCAGTTACTTTGGAAGACAGGCTTTTGTGGCTTATGGGCTATTGGATAGAATTCATTGCTGTGACTTTATGGCTTATAGTTTTAATCAGTAAGGGATCTGGGGCTGAAAACGGCTGCCATGTGCCTCATCCACGGCCCCTGCGATTTTTCCCCAGAAGTACAGCATGGCTGAAAGTGTTGTTCTGCTAACTCTTCACCTAAAATGCCGCTGCCTACGGGAGGGAGCTGTGGGGCTGTTTCCAGCTAAGATTTCTGCTTGGAGTGTTCAAACCTTGTTAACCTTTCTGGTCTTTCAGATTTATAGACTTGATTTCTAATTTCAAGGCTTTAGACAAATTTAAAAAAGTATCTTCTCACAAAAGAGATTGGGACCTAGTAGTTAGACAAGTTCTATCTTTGTTTGTGACCACTATGTTCTCCCATTTGTGGAATGGAGAAGGACATGGCATGTTGATATGGGCACTACAGGAGGATGGAAAATTAAGTTATAGACAGGCAGGTTTAAGTTTTTAAAAGTATTTCCAAGTCTGATTTTGTTAATCCTCACCAGAATATATTTCCCATAGATTTTAGAGAGAGTGGAAGGGACAGGGGAAGAAGGAGGGAGACACATTGATTGGTTGCCTCTTGCACATACCCCAACCACAGCCAGGGATTAAACCTGCAACCCAGGGATGTGCCCTTGTCTGGGAATTGAACTGTGACCCTTCGGTATGCTGACCAATACTCTAACCACTTAACAACCCTGGCCAGGGCCATATTTTTTTATAATAGGTGAAATATACATAAATATGTAATGAAAACATACATTAGAAAAATGTAACATTGAAAGCTTGTGAATGACTGAATTTTTCCTCCCTTCCCCTACACTTTTATTTAACTTTTCAAATTTTCTACAATGAGCATGCATTTATTGGATCAGTAGGGGAAAAAGTCCTAATTTTAAAAAAGTTCATATGCTTATGTCCTTTTGTACCTTTTTTTTTAAGGGAGGCTAAGAGCCTTTCGATTAGTCAGTCTTTGCCCTCATTGCCAGTAATATCTCATTCTGTTTTCTACGTATAATAAAGAGTGTAAGTATGTATGAGGGAGCCCTCAGTTTGGTAAGCATTAGCTAATTTATTTTCATGGCTGAGTTTGTATACTTTTGCCTTTCAGCTTTTTAAAAAATGAGTTTATTTGAGCCAAACAGATGATATAAGTCAGGGAGTAAGTTCTCAAATGCTCTGAAAAATAACAGTTTTGCATTCAAAATTAAGGAAGGTATGTCAGGGAAGATTACATGGAGGTGGGAGGAAGCAAGGTTAGGTTTGGATTATAGGACAGAAGATTATTTGCTCTCTTGAGGGTGGTTACATCTTAGAAAGAGGGGTCTGGAAAGAGGCATTGTAAAGTATGTTCATCTGGATTCACAGAAACAAGGGACAGGACTTTAAGGCAAAATAAGCCTTTTAGTAAAGAAGTTGTATTCCTGGGGCATAACTACCCATTATGACCTTCCTGGATAGGATTTTAAGATCAGATTTCCATTGAACCCCCCTTTTTTGTCCACAGTTCCCCCTTTTGGTTATAAATCAATCCGAAAGTTGTATTGATGACCAACCTTTTGGTTGGATAGTGTAGTCTCACAGTGCTAGGAAGGGTCATTCCTAAGAAGGCTCAGTATCGATGTGCTCTTATTGACTATTGGGGATGAGGCAATACCATAATCATGGGCCGAATTTTTCACACAAAAGGGAAGGACAGTTAAATGGAAAGTAGTTAGGTCATATGAGCTTCATTGTGAATAAAACGCTGGGTCATTTCTATTCTGTGAACTCTCATGTTTGAGTTTTGCCTAATTGCCAAGTTCTGTCTATATTTCTGTATTAGGCATCTATTGTAGTATAACATTTACATAAGCCATGAAAAGAGTATAACAGTGATTTTTTAAAGTTACTTTAATATCTAAATATTTTTTAAATTGTTATCAGAGAGAAGAAGGGAGAGGGAAGAGAGATAGAAGCATTAATGATAAGAGAGAATCATCAATCGGCTACCCCCTGCACGTCCCTTACTGGAGATTGAGCCTGCAACTCAGGCACATGCCCTGACTGGGATTTGAACTGTGACCTTCTGGTTCATAGGTCCATGCTTAACCACTGAGCCATATCGGCTGAGCTTAACAGTGATCTTATTATACACGTTCAGTCATCATAACAGTTTAACTACATATACAAAAACACAAAGAACAAGTATAACTTATTATTATTACTTTAAGTTCTTACCTGAGGATATTTTTCCATTGAATTTTAGAGAGAGTGGAGGAGAGAGGGAAAGACAGATAGAAATATTTATGTGAGAGAAGCACATCGATTGATTGCCTCCTGCACAAGCCCCGACCGGGGCCCCAGGCCAGGGAGGAGCCTGTGACCGAGTTACGTGCCCTTGACCAGAATCGAACTTGGGACCCTTTGGTCCACAGACCAACACTCTATCTATCCACTGAGCCAAACCAGCTAGGGCAAGTATACCAGTAACTGTTATTATGACTAATATCATTAGCATACAAGTAGATACAATGAAGCAAAATGGATCCTGAGTTCAATATCAATCAGTAGGTGTACAGGTCTTGTTGATGTCTTGGGATAGCTGTCTATCTCTGATGTTAGTGGCTTCTCATCCTTGAGGATTCTTTGATGTGCGTTGTAGGTGGAGGCGAATGTCAGAGATGGGATAAATTCTCTTCCAGCGAGATTGAAGAGTGTCTTTTATTTGATGTTCTTTCAAAAAAACAATATCTAAATCTTTGTCTCCTGGAAGCTCACTGTGAAAGGAAGCCATTATTAAGTTGACATTTTCTTTAAGTGACTCTATCAAACCTTGGCAATAGCGTAAAATGTCTCCTTTCAGTGTCAGCTCATAGGTTCCTTCATTTGAGTTCAGCTTAAATGCACAATGATGCATAAAGGATTATAAAAAACAAATAATGGGGTTTCCCTGGGAGCTGGGAAAAACCAACCAGCTCTGTGGGTTTCCTATATTCTCAACTACTATTTAATTTATAATCATTGTTTACCTATACAATATGCCCTAGGGGTTTTTCATCAGCTATTTTACAATGTTTCTCATACAATTTAACTTAAAAAAACAAACCCTTTGAGGTGTTCCAGGGGCCCTTCTGGTACACTGCAAAATTATTCCTATGTATATTGAGATTTTAACCCTTAAAACCTCAATTTCTAATGAAAATTAAGAAGTAAACAATTTGCATTCTTTAACTTAGCAGATTTATGAGGACATTTTATAACCTCTAGAAACATATTTCATAAATATCAGTGTCAGTTATTAACATGGACTTAATTTTGTAAAGCCCAGGTAAAATAAAGACATGTCTGTTTTACTTAAACCAACAAACTTAAACTGGCTTTTATTTACTAAGAATTAATTTTAGATATTAATTTCTAAATGCATTTTCCCTTGAAAAGCATTTGAATTATTTTCTGTATTTCTGAGAATTTTAGAATACCCAATCCCTACAAGCACTTGCTTTTAAGTCGATTTTAACAGTACCATTTGGAGGTAGAAAATTATTTCACATTTACTACATATATAGACATACATAGACAGACACAGACAGAGAACAGTTGGACCCAAGTTTTGTTTTGGAGAAACTTAACATTTCTATCTGCCCTTAACAAGTCAAGTTCCAAATGACCTTTCCTCCCCTTTTGAAAAATATGTTTTTATTGACTTAGAAAGGGAGAGAGAGAGAAACATTGATGAGAAAGAAATATCAACATCTATTAGCTGCCTCCTGCATGGCCCCCATAGGGACTGAGCTTCCACCTGGGATGTGCCCTGATAGGAAATCGAACCAGCAACCTCTTGGTTCATGGGTCGATGCTCAACCACTGAGCCACACTGGCTGGGTCCCCTTTTAAAACAGCACAGGCATTTTAATACCTCAAAGGAATGGGTTGACACCTAAATGACATCACAGGTTGAGTCATTTATGTAAATCCTCTTTTTGATGCTTTGAGAGACCAATTTAATGTGCTATTCTTTCTACACATTAAAGAGACCATTCTTTCTGCCTAGTTTCCTAGCCAGCGTTTTCTAACAGTGAGTGCGAAGGATTAGAAGTATCAGAGGATCCTCTTGATGTCTTAGTATTAACAGGAGGCTGACTGTTGTGGGACTTGGCCTCAGAGGCACGATTTCTCCTGTTAATTTTTGTTGTGTTTTGTTTGTTTTGTTTTTATTAATCCTCACTTGAGATTTTTCCATTGATTCTTAGAGAGAGTGGAGGGAGGTGGGGAGAGAGAGACATTCATGTATTGCCACATTGACTGGTTGCCTCCTAAACAGATTGAATCTGCAACCCAGCTTGACTGGGAATGGAACCTTTGACACTTGGACCAATGCTCTAACCACTTAGAAACACCTGCCAGAGCTGGTTTATTTTTTTTTCTTTTTTCAAAAATATGTTTTTATTGATCTTTTAGAAAGAGAGGAAGGGTGAAGGATAGAGATAGAAACATTGATGGCAGAGAAACATCCATTAGCTGCATTCTGCATGCCTCCTACTGGGGATTGAGCCTGCAACTTGGGCATGTGCCCTGTATACCTCTTGATTCATGGGTTGACCCTCAACCACTGAACCATTCTGGCTGGGCTTTAAGGTTTTTTAAATCTTCACCCTAGGATATGTTTTTATTGATTTTAGAAATATAAGGAGGAAGGGAGGGAGGAAGGAAGGAAGGGAAAGAGATAGAGTAACACCAATCAGTTGCCTCCTGTATGTGTTCTTACTGGGGATTGAACCTGCAATCCAGGTATGTGCCCTTACTGGGAATCGAACCTGTAACCTTTTGGTGTATAGGATGGTGCTCCAACCAGCTGACCCACCCAGCCAGGGCTCCTCTGTTAATTTTGAGATCTGTAAAGTCTGAACACACATCTATGAAAAATGCCCTTATGTGCACAAGTACAGGGAATATCGCTGTAGGGGGTACTTTACACTCTAGAGGAAAATTTTCTCACGCAGCACCACAAAGTTTATTACTCACCTAAGAATACCCAAGCAAAGGCCAGAGAGAGGTTAACAGATGCTGCGAGAAGCACGGCTCTTTCCAAGGCACAGGGCCTTGTATTTGAGGAGGAGCAACCAGCCTTGCTCTTGTTTTATAGTGACTCTTTTCTGAAGTGAGAGCTATGATTATTCACTCTTTGGGTCAAGCTTTGAGAACTAAGGGTGAGTCACAGACTCTTGTGGATGGATCCAGAGAGGACAAAAGGAGATGCAGAGACTTTCTGGGGTTTGGGTAGCCAGTGCTCTGTTGGTGGCAGGATAATCTGAAATGGCAAGCCCAAATCATTGTACGTTTGGAGGCTCCTTTTGTACTTTTGTATAAATATGATTATTTCTGATGTTCTAGATTTTGAAACCACTTTGACCAAATAGTGAAAGCAGTGTTACTGAAGAGAAGCTAGAAAGGCACAAGAGGACAGAATTGTGCTCACACTTAGAACTTTTATTTTACTTCCTGCTCTGTGCTGTTAGGCTGCGTGTTCTCTTCTGCATTTGCACCAAGTTAAAATAGGTTTGGCTGCTCTTTCTGTGTTGCTTTACAACCTTCTTTCAGATTTACTTCCTAGAGCTGGTAACAGTGTTAGTAACAGTTTGCAGCAAGATATTTCCAGATAATTTTAATCTGGATAATATGGGGAGAATTCATTGCACAACAAAGGAGTGTTGGCGCCATTAAGTTATGTTAAGAGTAAAAAGGTTAGGGCCCATAAACTTAGGTTAATATGAATTAACAACGTATGTATTTTATGTTCATATTTTTATTTAATCTGTGATAATATCCATTTTCTGTCTTATTTAGACTCAGATTGATGGACAACTTTTTTTAATAAAGCATCTTTTGATTCTTCGTGAACAAATTGCTCCATTTCACACTGAATTCACCATTAAGGAAATTTCCCTGGACCTCAAGAAAACTAGAGGTACTTTATTGTCCTGGCTGGCACAGTTGGGTGTGTTCAACCTGTCCAAATGTATCAGCACAGGTTATAGGTTTATTTTATGTTCATCTGCAATTTTTTTGCATGCTGTGCTTGCTAAGCATGTCACTTGTTTATACTAAACTGAGCATCCTAATTACATCTAACTTGCTGTATTTCCTTTATGAAGGGAACTATATCTGAGCATTTCCATTTGTAATATATCATTACCTCTCTTAGACTCTGCCACGTACTACCATAACCAGTTAAAAAATGGAAGGTCAATATAACAGCTACCTACAGTGTCAGCTAATTGGGATGGCTTTAAACATTGAGTTTGTCAGTCCATTAAAATTCAGAAAGCAGCTGGGTAAAAGGGAAGAATATTTATCTGAGTCTGAAAGAGTCAGGTTCTGTTCCTGGCTCATCATTTCCTGGCTCTTGCGTGATCTTGAATAGGTGTCTTAGCTTTCCTATGCCAGGTAAATTGAGCATAATCCACATATCATACCTTTACCAGGTTACCAAATCAATTAAGATCATTAAGAATGAATGGGCTTTGTAAGCTTAAGGCGTTTAATGTAAGTGGTGTTATTGTTAAATCGGTTGGTTGTTAAGTAATGCAGATAGGGTCTTTGAGTTGCTAATATAGGATCATATTGGGAAAGATGCCTCATCTATCCTAATCATTTGTCTCTGAATTAACAAGTGATGATTTCTAAAAGATCAAAGTAGTTATTTTCTAAGATGTTGATCTTAAGCAGTGAAGAGTATACCACACGTATCCTTCATTTTTCTTAATTACTTACAAAATTATCTAATCATTATCTTTTCTTAATAATTTTCAAGAGAATTCAACTCTAATGACTTAAGCCATTCATTTATGCAATGATGAACTTCTCTCTTATGTCTTGGGGGAATTGAGAAAATTCAGCCACTCAAATTATTTTCTGTATTCTATGGTTCAGTGGAACTTCAAATATACGATTTCCAAGGGTCGTAGTAGGACGTTCCCTAATGACTGTTTATAAATTAGTAGACTGTATTTAACTCACCTGGGAACCAACGTGGTCTTACCATGATTCATATTAAAACAGTTGGTTCTTTTTCTTAATGCTGTCTTCTTTCCACCACAAAGAATGCTCTTTGGTTCTGCTGGAATTTGGATAGTAAACTTGCATTTTATTTATATATTTGGTCTTTTTTTTTTTAAACAGAAGCCCAATTTTCTGGTTTTTATCCTCAGAGAATGCATAAATTTTCTAGAGCTTATTCTCATCAGAAGCTTCTGTCTCTCAACCATTCTAGTGGATTTTCTTCTTTTCAGTGTGAGATGTGGGAATAGTGCTCTTAACCTTGAAGAATGCCAGGCGCTGAGTCCTTACTTTATTTTAGTGGTGGGCTAAAGCAGGGCTGACCTACTTTCTTGCACTTTTTAAAATTCATGATTTGTTGCTGCTGGGTTCTAGTATAGATCCACTGAGGTGTGAGAAAATGAAATATCCTAAAATTTTGGCAAATATTGATTTAAAGTATGTTTTCTCTACAGTATATGTAATTCTACCATATGCTGATTTGATTCTGTTTATTGCAGACACTCGGTCAGGTGTCTTGTAGGAAAGAGAGCAGACACAAAGAGGCATTTACTAAATAAAGCCTTACTCTGAACACTGGATCTGATAGCGAGGTTCTTTCTCAGTAAGATCAGGGTCAGGGCAGTAAAACCACAGTTGGAAGCATTGCATGCTTTGCTTTCTCCAGTCTGGCAAAGCAAAGCAAAGCAAAGCAAAGCAAAAAAATGGTCTTTTCTGACTATCCCTTAATAATACTTGCTCTCTTTATTTTTAAGCCTCTAACCTTTCACGACTAATGTTATATCTTATTGCATTTGAACATCAATGAGACCTCGATTAATAATTCATATAGATCTAGTTTGCCTAGAGGTTAAGGGGTAAATATGTCCTTTTGGTGTTTTCTTTCTGGCTGACACATTAATTTATTCACTCTGCTTCAAATGAATAAATTTCTGTGCCAGCCAGGATCTTACAAAAGAAGTCGGGTAAGTATATGAATATTTAAAAAACAAACAAACTATTAATCATTGTAAGAGTAAAGCAGCGAAATTTTCAGATATCGATTACCATTTATCATTTTTATTTTTTTCAATTAGTGAATAATTAAGTTTAATAGTCATTTTGCACTTCTGACTTCTAGAAAGTTACGATATGTGGGTACCGTGGCCATCTTGGCACCAATCTCAATGTCATAGTGGAGATGAATTGGTGAAAACAAAACTGTTCTTGCTTTGTGGTAATAGAGAACTAGTGTGTATCATTAACACTGAAACAGTAACTCAGTAACAGTTTTTCTTTTGAAATTGTACATATTCACTGGATGAGTAATTTTGTTTCATAGATGCAGCATTTAAAATCCTGAACCCTATGACTGTTCCAAGATTTTTTAGGCTGAATAGCAACAATGCCTTGATAGAGTTCTTGTTGGAGGTAAGAAGGAATCTGTCTCATTTGTGGTGGGAGATAAGTGGCATTCTTTACATATCTGGTAATTTTTAAGTGTGTAAAAGCAGGAGGGAATTGTCTCTTTTAGGGCACTCCTGAGATAAGAGAACATTATCTTGACTCTAAAAAAGATGTAGATCGTCATCTGAAATCGGCCTGTGAACAGTTCATTCAACAGCAGACCAAGCAGTTTGTAGAGCAGCTGGAGGAGTTCATGACAAAGGTATAGACCTTGGTGCATATTTAATAAAGTAATTTTGAATTCTTTCCTAGATTTCCTTTTCGATTAATCACTCTCTTGTGAAACTCTGGCAGAAAGAGATAGTAAGCCCAAGTCTTAATGATTTCATCTAGGACATCACCTTGTTTCTTTCTTTTTAAATGTATTTTATTGATTTTTTTACAGAGAGGAAGGGAGAGAGATAGAGAGCTAGAAACATCAATGAGAGAGAAACATCGACCAGCTGCCTCTTGTACACCCCCTACCGGGGATGTGCCCGCAACCAATGTACATACCCTTGACCAGAATCGAACCTGGGACCCTTCAGTCCTCAGACCGACGCTCTACCGCTGAGCCAAACCGGTTTTGGCACCTTGTTTCTTTTTATACAAGCTTTTTGCTTTGAACTTTTAACTAAGAACTGCTTCTAGCAGACCTGCCTATGTTCTGTTGTCCACATTGAGAGCATCTGCATGTGGTCTGGGACTCACTTTTCCTAGACGAGGACCTCATGGCAGTCCTGCTGATCAGGGTTTCCTATTAAGTGGGTGAACTATTTTCCTCTGTCTTACATGCTATTTCTCCCTTCCCTTTGCACGGATAACTGAAAATTGATTTTGTATCATTGCATTGTCTTTTTTGTTGTTGTTAATTCTCACTGGAGGATATTTTTTCCATTGATTTTTAGAGAGTGGAAGTGGGATGGGGAAGAGGGAGGGAGGGAGAGAGAGGGAGAGGGAGAGGGAGAGGGAGAGGGAGAGGGAGAGGGAGAGAGAGAGAGAGGGAGGGACATCGTTGTGAGGGAGACACATTGATTGGTTGCCTTCCTCTTGAGTCCTGACTGGGGTTGAGGGTTGGGGATCACACCTGCAACCCAGGTACATGCCCTTGATCAGGAATTGAACCCGAGACCGTTTAGTGTACAGGCAGATACTCTAACCACTTAGCAGCATCGGTCAGGGCGCATGCATTGTTAATCACCAGATATATGAGTTTATAATCATCTGTTTATCTCTCTGTCTCCTAGTTAAAATACATTATCTAATGCCAGCCACTAAAAATTCAGATCATGACTATTTTGACTTTCCTGCTCCAGTCTAATCACTAAAAAAATTTAAGTGTTACCAAAGACTTTCCTCATAAAAATGTTTAAAAAGTCTTGAAATTAACAGTAATTTATTGAGCCTTTGCTGCTTGTCCAGACTTTTATTAGAAAACATCATAAAAAGAATAGAAGTATCAAAGACTTTTCTCTCAAATTTACTTAACTAAGTCTTAACTGGGAGACAAGATGTATCTATGAAATGACCAGAAGATAGCAGAGCAAATTGTTCATTACTTACTTGTTGCAAGCATCAACACTAATACCTGAGCCTGTGATAAAAACAGAATAGATTAGTTTTAAAAAACAATAATTACCAAAAAAGCAAATACAGAAATGTTAAACCAGTCAAACTACTCTATTTATCGTTGGGGTATGTTACTGTTTAGTGGATTTTAGTCTAATCATGTTAAGTATTTGGAGAAAGAGAGAGTTTTCTACCCTGTAAATTTAAAAAGAGATGGTGGAAATGTTTTTCCCCTAGGTTTCAACTTTTAAAAAGTGGTACAAGTATTGATACTTCGTAATTTATTCATAAGTCGTCATAGTTTTTATTAATATAAAACCAGCTTGTAGATTATAGTTTGTACAGGAGGGGGCAAAAGTAGGTTTATAGTTGTTTGTATGGAAAATAATACAATAATTAACAAATAATAATACAAAAATAACCTATTTTGTGTACTCACAGCTATAAACCTACTTTTGTCCCACCCTGTATTTTTGGGAGAAGATCCCACATTAATACTGGTGGGAAATATTGTAGATGAATATTTTGCAATAATAGCAGCAGAGTGAAACTTCCCATAGAAAGAAGTTGATTATGATGAAATCTAGGGTTAAAGGGTTTTTTCTAGAAAAGTACAGTTTCCTTGAAATAAAGAGAATGAAAATTGACTGATGTGATCCTCCAAGCTGACATTAGTATAAGTTTGATAAATCTGGTAGAACTACACAGTTGTACATTTTAAAAGACTCTGGACATGATGAACATTTTTTAAACATTAGAGGCTTATGTAGAAACTAGAGGCCCAAAGCATGAACATTCGTGCAAGAATAGGCCTACCTTCCCCTGGCAGCACCAGCTTCCCTCCCGCACCCAGGACCTGGGCTGCTTCACTCCTGCTACTGCCAGGCACCCGGGACCCACGCTGCTTTGCTCCGGCTGCCACCGCCACCTACCAGGGGTGTGCTCCGAGCTGTGCTGTGGCCACTCAGAGCACGCCCCCACCCCTGGTGTGTGTCTGCTGGGGCTGGGGTGGCATGCAGACCCCTCCCCCCCCATCTGTGCGTGCAGCTCCTCCTGAGCCGTTGTGAGGCAGCCTCCTCTGAGCTGGTCATGAACGTTATGGCATCCTGGCCTAATTTGCATATATATATATATATATATATATATATGTATGTATGTATGTATGTATGTATGTATTTCAAGTCTGAATTATATAATGGTTCTCCATGGACATACTGCGTGTTTATAGTTGGGGCCTAAATACAGCTATGCTGGTCATGCATCTCCTTTTTAAAAATTTTTTTTATTGATTTTAAGAGAGAGAGGAAAAACAAGGGAGAGAGAGAAACATTGATATGAGAGTGAAACATCGACCAACTGCCTCTTGCACGCCCCCTACTGGGTATCAAGTCTTAAACCCAGGCATGTGCCCTGAGTAGACATACAACCAACTGAGCCAGACCAATAAGGGCTCATGTAATATTCTTTTTAAATTCTCCTCACTGTGGGATTTGTGAGTGAAAGGCCCTCCTCTAATTGTCACTGAGAAGACAATTCATCCCCTCTTCTCATTCTATGATGCCTAATTTTTCCTTTTCCAACCCTGGCCCTTCACTGCTCCTTAATGAGTTTCCAGTCAACATATTTAGTATAGGACTGAGCATCCCTTTTATGTTATCTTACTCCAAATTTAGGTCCCTTTCTCTGTCCTGTTGGCATAGAGTGAGTCAGAGGTAAAGATATACACTATATATACAGGCATGTCCGCATATGCATACACATACACATAAGCATAAAATGTAAGCACTGGAGTTCACACAGATATATGTGATCATTTAAGATGTGGCTTCTTAGAATTTGTGGAGCAAATGGTTACTTTTTCCTAGTGAGTGTTGTATTAAAAAACTTTAAAATAATTTTTAATTTTTTATTAAAAATTTATTTTTATTGATTTCAGAAAGTAAGAGAGAGGGAGAGAGATAGAAATATCAGTGATTAGAGAGAATCATTGGTTGGCTTCTTCCTGTACGCCCACATTGGGAATTGAGCCCACAAACCAGGCATGTGACCTGACTAGGAATTGAATCGACTTCCTGGTTTGTAGGTCAATGCTCAACACTCCTGCCATGCTGGCTGGGCTAAAATGATTTTTAAAAGCAAATCTGTAAGTGAAATTTTTTGTGCCTTTTTAATTATAGTTGGCATTTTATAAGGCAACCATTGCTTGTACCTTGATAAATGATTATAAGAAAAACAGCATCCATAGGTAAAGAAAGGAAACAGTATTTCATCTTTCATTTGGATGTATGCTTGTGGGTCTCAGATTAACCATTTGGATTTAAGTCTCATCAACAAAATGTCCTCAGCTTGTTTTAAGCATGGACAGATTTTATAAATATACTAGAGGCCTGGTGCACGAGTTCATGTTCCAGTGGGGTCCCTTGTCCTGGCCTGCGGGATCGGGTTGAAACTGGCTCTCAGATATTCCCCAAGGGGTCCTGGATTGTGAGAGGGCTGAGGTCAGGCCGAGGGACCCCAGTGATGCATGATCAGGGCTAGGAAGAGATGTGGGAGGTGGGCCAGCTGGGGAGAGACCGCAGGAGGGCTCCAGGACATGTCTGGCCCCGTCTTGCTCAGTCTTGATCGGCTGGACCCCAGCAGCAAGTAACTTACCAGTTAGAGCGTCTGCCCCTTGGTGGTCAGTGCATTATCATAGCGACTGGTTGACTGCCCCTTGGTGGTCAGTGCACATCATAGCTAGTGGTTGAGTGACCTTAGCATATCATTAGCATATTACACTTTGATCGTTTGAACACCGGACAACCAGGCATTTAACGTATTAGGCTTTTATTACATAGGATTTGGGCTTGCATAGTAAAATAAAATGTGTAAGTGTGTAGAATACATTTTTAGGTTGTCAGAAGACTTATTTAAAAAAAAAAAAAAAAATATATATATATATATATATATATATATTATTTCAGAGAGAAAGGAAGAGGGAGAGAGGGATACAAACATCAGTGATGAGGGAGAATCAGTGATTGCCTCCTGCACTTGCCCCCACTGGGGATCAAGCCTGCCACCTGGGCATGTGCCCTGACCTGAAATCAAACCATGGCCTCCTGGTTCATAGGTCAACACTCAGCCATGAATAACACTGGCCAGACTCATTATATTTTAACTGAGAGGCTTAGTGCACGAATTCATGCATGGGTGGAGTTCCTAGACCTGGCTGGTGATCAGGGCTGATGGGGGCTCTCTCGCCCTATCTGGGTCATGGGTGTGGGTGAACTGGATTCGGGGCTGTCAGAGCCTCAGTAGCATGCTAACCAACGGCCAATTCTGCGAGGAATCAGGCTCCTTCCTTTCTCCTGTCTGGGTCCAGGTTGCAGGTGAACTGGATTCAGGGCTGTCAGGGCCCTAGCAGCAAGGTCTGGGTCAGTGTGCTTCATAGCTACCTGGTCGTCAGGTTGTTCTGGTCGTTCAGTCATAACAGTAGTTTAGGCTTTTATATATATAGAATATATATAGTTAGGTTCGAATAGTGGTATGTATCTTTTGAGAGAAGTACTAGTTTAATTTGTCATCAATGAAATGAAACTTTTTTTTTGGTCTCTTTTACTAGGTTTCAGCATTAAAAACAATGGCCAGTCAGGGAGGACCCAAGTACACTCTCTCACAGCAACCGTGGGCACAACCAGGTATTCACATTTTGCTATCTGGGATTTCTTTTTTTTTCTTTTTTTTTGGATATTGATTAATTTCCATTTATATAGTCCTTGCACTGACAGCTTGGAGTAGGTTTCCTACTCTTACTGTAGTTTGGCTTAATACAATATGTAGTTTCAAGCTGACAGGTCTTTTTTTTGGCCACCACTATCTGCATTTCAACAAGCATTTCAAGGAAGGAAGGAAAGATTTTACACACATACACACACACACACACACACACACACACACACACACAGTTAAAAGTAAAATGTGGCTTAGATGGAGTCACTGAGGCTGCTGGTTTCTATGCAACCACTTTTCATTGTGTTACACAGTTTTGAAGTTTTGATGAAAATACTGAAGATGACAGTATAAAATTATAGAATGATTTTCAAGTATTATAAAGGAATGTGGTACATTATTTTGTTCATCATTTTATGCAAACCACTTCTGTTCAGTGTTTTAGAGTTTGAGAAAAATGGTAAAAATTGTAGTGTCAGTTGGAAGTGGGCAGATATGATTGAAATGTTCTCAATCTTACTCTTAAATGTACATTTTTATGTGTGCTAGAAGATTATTTTTGTTGTTTTTTATCTTTAGCATTAGATATTACACATTTAAAATCATGACTAACTTTGTGAGTTATTTTAGGTACATTTTGTGATATTTTAAGTTGCCATTAAACCTGAATAAATATTTTTGTTAGATGATATATTTGGCTGTCCCTTGGCTTATACCGTGATAGTGATTCTCTGAAACTAAAAAGGCAAAATGGCAAAAATGGCAAAAAAAAAAAATCAGTGTTTTAATTGGGGATAATCTGTGTCCAAATTGGTAGGGAAGCTTTTTGCTCAATGTGAGGGAGATCCGAAGAATGATTCTGGTTTAACATCTATAGAGAATTGGCTGTTCATAAGCATATAATCTAGAATTAGGTTTTTAATATGATTGATTTTCCACATAAATGAATGTTGTGTCTGTCATGTGTTTTTTTGGGGAAAAAGAATTGATGCCATTCTAAAATTTTCATAATTAATTAACTAGAGGCCCGGTGCACAGATTCATTCACCAGTGGGGTCCCTGAGCCTGGCCTGTGCCCTCTCGCAATCCGGACCCCTCTGGGGACGTCAGACTGCTGGTTTCGGCTCAATCCAGGGCCTGCCCTGCAGGGATTGAGCCAAAACCAGCAGTCTGACATCCCCTGAGGGATATAGCGGGCGAAGCAGCAGGCAGCCAGGGTGGAGCCTGAGCCTGGGCTGGGCCTCACGCCACTCCTGCTCATCCTGGCCCCACTGTTCCCACCACCACGGCCACACTGTAGTGCTGCTGCGGAGGCAGTAGAGGCTCGTGCCGCCACAGTTGCACTTGCCAGCCGTGAGCCTGGCATCTGGTGCCCATCAGTTAGCTGAATGGTGCTTCCACTGTGGAAGCACACTGACCACCGGGGGGCAGCTCCTGCATTGAGCGTCTGCCCCTTGGTGGCCAGTGTGTGTCATAGTGACTGGTTGACCAGTTGTTCAGTCGTTCAGTCGCTTAGGCTTTTAAATATGTAGACTAGAGGCCTGGTGCATGAAATTTGTGCATTGAGGGGGTTGTCCCTCAGGCCAGCCTACACCATCTCCAATCTTGGACCCCTCAAGGAATTGCCTGTTTAGGCCAATTGAGGGGGACCACGCCTGCAAGGGAGGGCAATTAGGGGCAATCAGGCCACTAGGATTGGGCCTAAACAGGCAGTCAGACATCCCTCTCACAATCCAGACTTTTGGCTTCCAACTGCTTGCCTGCCTGTCTGCCTGCCTGATTGCCCCTAACTGCTTCTGCCTGCCAGCCTGATCACCTCCTATCCACTCCCCTGCCAGCCTCATTGATGCCTAACTGCTCCTCTGCCAGTCCGATTGCCCATAACTGCCTCCCCTGCCGGCCTGGTCATCCCCAATGGCCCTCCTCTGCAGGCATGGTCTCCCCCAACTGCCCTCCCCTGCCAGCCATGTCACCCCCAACAGCCCTCCCCTGTAGGCCTGGGCCCCCCCACGGCCCTCCCCTGCAGGCTGGGTCTCCCCAACTGCCCTTCCTTGAAGGCCTGGTCCCCTTCCAACTGCCCTCCCCTAGAGGCCTGGTCACCCCCAACTGCCCTCCTCTGCTAGCCTGATCACCCCTAACTGCCCTCTCCTGCTGGCCTGATTGTCCCCAAATGCCCTCCTCTGAAGACATAGTCCCCCCCTTACTGCCCTCCCCTAGAGGCCTGATCACCCCCAACTGCCCTCCTCTGTCAGCCAGGTCACCTCTAATTGCCCTCCCTTACAGGTGTGGTCCCCCTCAATTGTCCTCCCCTAGAGGCCTGGTCCTTCCACCTGCCCTCTCCTGCTGGCCATCTTTTAGTGGCCATCTTGTGTCCACATGGGGGCAGGATCTTTGACCACATGGGGGGTGGCCTTCTTGTGTGTTGGAGTGATGGTCAATTTGCATATTACCCTTTTATTAGATAGGATGCCTCATGCTAATTAACTAATTAATTAAAATATATTTTCATTAATTTCAGGAAGGAAGAGGGAGAGAGATAGAAATATCATTGATGCGAGAGAGTCATTGATCAGCTGCCTCCTGCATGCCCCCACACTGGAGATCTAGCCCACCACCCCGGGGCATGTGTCCCAATGGGGAATCGAACCATGACCTCCTAGTTCATAGGCCTCTGCTCAACTACTGAGTTCATTCCAGTTGCGCTGCCTCATGTTAATTTAAAGTTGAATTAGAACTAAGAAGTTGAAACAAGTAGCTCTATATCTCTTAGGAAGATTTGTAAATGTAGAGAATTATCAATTGTACAGAAAGGAAGACAGGGTATTATTTAAAAAATTTGCAGTGTGAATTTTGTTGATGTCAATATAAGTTTGCATTGATTTGCTTCATTGCAAGTGGACTTTGTGACATGCTTTCGGCCTTCCATTTATTGTATGAGCTTGGGGTTTTTGCCACCTTACTGAAGGACAGAGAGCATACTTGGTGCCGCAGTACATTTTGTCAGAAGAGAATACTGGAAATTCTAACCATGGTTGACTTGGTGGCGACCACTTGTTTGACCCCTCACAGTCAGGAGCAGACTTGTTAGTGCATTATTCAGCATTGTTCTAGAAAGAGTTCTAATCATTTTTGGATTAATTGGGCGAAGGTTCAGTCACTTACAGAGCTTATCTCAAAATAGGAGCTGATTTTATTTTGCGTGTTTAAGTAAATGAAACTCGTGGGTGTAATCTTTCTTCAGATAGATAGAAACCAACAGTAGGCCCTGGCATATTTATGTTTAGTGTAGCCATGCCCGGGGGCTTGATGCATAGTGCCCTTTGGAAAGGTCCTTTCCTCAAGTGGAATCTGAATAGAACCCCCCAGTGTTGGGGTGTTGTGCTCTTCAGCATCAATAGAGTTGTCACTGAAAGACAGAAAAACAGATCAAATAGGGCTTGCTGCTTTGTTATTAACCCATTTTGTTTTTTTCTAAGTGAGGAGATCTTGGCAAATGATAGGACTTCAGTTTACCTACTTGTATCTTCTGACAAGCCACTGGGGCTGGCGGTGGAGTTGCTTTTCCTTGCTCTGTAATACAAGAAGCCCACACTTAAATATCAAAGATGGGTTTTGTAGCTTTTGAGATGAGAGCATCAAAAACAATTGAGGGGGTTGTTCTGAGCCTCTAGGAACCCAGCGTTACTGGCTCATGCAGATCGATCAGGTTACAGAATTCATTTCATGATAAACTCCCAGGAGATCCAGTTATAAATTAGGATGTCATTTTGTTAATTTACTCTGGGAAATACGTCTTGTTAGGAATTGGAGGATACAGTAGTCCCCTTTATCCACCAGGGATACAGTCCAAGACCCCCCAGTAGATGCCTGAAACCATGGATAGTATAGAACCCTGTAAATTCTGTGATTTTTCCTACACATACATGCACTTCATGGCTTCTTTTTGGCATATCCAAATTAGCAGCATCACTGCAGGTAAAATAAGGGTTACTTGAACACAAGTGTTGCCATACTGCAAAAGTCAGTCTGATAACGGAGACAGCTACTGACTAGCAAGCAAATACAGCACAGATATATTGGACAAAGGGGTGATTCATGTCCTGGCTAGCATGGCGAGAGTTTGTCACATTTGGTGTGCAATTTAAAACTTATGAATTATTTATTTCTGGAATTTTCCATTTAATGTTTTTGGACCAAGGTGGACTGAGGGTAACTGAAATGTGGAAAGTGAAACCTCAGATAAGGGAGGATTACTGTACTTTATTTACTAGTGGATGACGGTGTCTGTTTCCCAGACACACCTTTTGGTGATCAAGGGCTCTGAAAGCTGCCTTAGTGAACCTTGAAGTGTGTTAGTAATGACAGAACCGGAGCCTGTGGAATTAAAGGTCTTAAAGGAGCTTTCATGTATTTTATAAAAAATAACCCTTTTCTGGATTATTTGTTCTTCTTGAGTGCATTGGCACTTTCCTATCCTGCTCTACCACAACCGTCCTCAATTAAAAAAAATAAAGTTTTTTTTTATATGATATAAAATTTGAATTGTGAGAAAGTATAAAATGAAGAGTAATTCTATTCTTCACCTCCAAACTAATCTCAGAAGTAACCATGAGTAATGATTTCCTCCCATTATTATTATTTAAATATATTGATTTCAGAGAAGAAGGGACCGGGAGATAAAAACATCCTCTATAATAAAAGCCTAATATGCAAATCGACCGAATAGCAGAATGACTGGGGGAACAACTGGTCGCTTATGACACACACTGATCACTAGAGGGCAGATGCTCAACACAAGAGCTGCCCCCAGCCTGCAGGCCCCAGGCCAGCCAAGGTGGGTGCCCAAGGGGGCAGGGCTGGCAAGCGGGCAGGGCCAGGCTGGCCAAGGCAGGTGCCAGCAGGGGCCCCTCGATCGCCCACCGGTTATCTCACAGATCGGCCCTGGCCAGGCCTAGGGACCTACCCGCATATGGATTTTGTTCACCAGGCCTGTAGCCATGATAAGAGAATCATTGATTGGCTGCCTCCTGCACGCCTCATGCTAGGGATTGAGCCCACAACCTGGGCATGTGCCCTGATTGGGAATGGAAACATGACCTCCTGATTCATAGGTTAATTTCAACCACTGAGCCACACCAGCTGGGCCTCCCCATATTATTTATGTATATGTTAACTTATATGGACCTAAAACATGTTGTATAAATAAGATTATATTTATTCTTTGCATTTTTAACTTACTCTGTAGCTTGGGTCCTTTCTGCACCAACCTGTCCAGCTATATCCATTCAGTTTAATGGATGCACAGAATATATCCCTGTAGCACAATTTCTTTTAATACTTTTATTAATGGTACTTAAGTTATTTTTAGTATTTTTATTTTTCCATACACTCTTTAAAAAATGTCCCTGTTCACACATATTTTATTTTGTGAGTACATCCGGGATAAATTTCTATCAGTAGAAAGGTTAAGTGAGAGAGTATGTGTATTTTTTATTTTGCTAGACATTGCTCAGTATCCCCCCAAAGAGATTAAACCAATTTGTACGGCCATCATCAGTGGATGATGGTGTCTGTTTCCCCATACCCCTGTCAAATGTGGATATTCACAATCTTAATTTTTGCTAATCTGAAAATATATTAATATGCATTTCTTTAATTATGAGTGAGGTTGAGCATCTTTGAATTATAAATCAGTTTTTTTCCTTTGTAGCTTTCTGAATTTTTAGTTCCCATTCAGTGTATGTGTATATTTTCTGAATGATCTTGTAAGGCAGAGAGCATCTCTTACTGTGAGTCAGTTCTGCAGATGAATAAATTCATTTACCTTAGCGCTTAATCTCCAAGTTCCAAAGGCACCCACCACATTACAGCCCCAGTGAATTCCTGAAGCGTGCCAAGGAATTCTTTTTGCTACCTTAGCCTTAGGATTTTGTATTTAGAAGATTATTAATGTTTATAGAGTTTGAGATTAAATTTGATAAACAAACAAGAAAAGTGAAAGAATTCTTTGGGGAATTTAAGAGTCTTTTCTTTTGTTATTTTTCTCTTCCTATATTCCCCTCTGAATTAAAATGGAAATGTTTCTTCTTTTGTGACACAAATGAGGTTAATTTCTTTCCAGCAAAGGTCAGTGACCTTGTGGCAAGTGTCTACAAGACCATAAAAGCAAAGCTGCCTCAGACCTTGAGAAGTATGTCATTGTACCTATCCAATAAAGATACCGAGTTCATCTTGTTTAAACCTGTTAGGGTGAGTATCATGATAATTTATTTGAATGTTGGCCAGTCTCTTCAAGTGTTCTGGCCTTGTCTACCATTTTCTTCTTCTGTAGATACTTAAAAATAGTATAACTTCCTGTTGGCATACTATTCTGGTGAAGTTAACTAATAATCCCTGTGATTCTTGAAAGGTTTACAAGTGGCATTTGTCTGATTATACCTCCCATCCCCCTCACGTTGTCACTGAAGTACTTTCTCCCTAAAAGTAGAAGTTAGTAAATAAATACATAAATAAATAATTAGACCTTCACATTGGATGTGTAGCCCAACACTTGAAAGAACAGCCTTTAAGGGATCACACCTGTGTTACTGATGAGTAATGGAAATAAATGGCTTGTAGCAGCCACTAAGGTATTAAATGTCAGAGCAAATTTAGAACTCAGAACTTCTAGCTCTACTTTGGGCTCACATCCTTACCCAATGCGTGGGCTGATTTTTAAAGTACAGTTTGTGTCTAGGAACTTGATTGTCTTTTGTTAAGAAATTGTTGCTGAAGGTTCTCTGGGGGCAGGACTTGCTATGGTTTGGTTTTTCCAGGAAACATTCTATGACAAGTCTTACTTGGGTTGTGCTAGCATGTGAAATATTAAGTGCAAATTATGCCTTTGGTAATCCCATAAAAAATACATTTCCTCCACTTGTTTTGGCAATTATCATTACGATTTAACTTCCTTAGTACTGCATGTTTAAGACTGCTGTACATGTTTTTAGTGACTCGCTTAATATGATTGCTTTTTCTCTTTCTCAGAATAATGTTCAGCAAGCCTTCCAGAAGCTCCATGTTTTGTTAAAGGAAGAGTTCAGTCCTGAAGATATCCACATCATTGCTTGTCCTACTATGGAACAGGTAATCCATAGTCTGAAGATTCTTGTTATTTAGTTGTTTGAGTTAATATTGTACAATATTTTATTCTGATGAGCAAGAGTTTAAACTTTGTCAAATATTTGGTGATGGTTTTGTAACCAGACAAATAATGGATCAATGCTGCCTGTCACTACTCAGCTGATTAAGCAGAGACAGGGTTGAGTCATAATGAGTGTCTATTCCAATATTGCCGGCAGCATGGGAGAGTAGCAGGTTATCAACAAAAATCGGCTCTGCAGCTCACCATAGGCCAGCTGCTTATATTGATGGAAGTACAAAGGAAAGTAGGCAAAAGGGCAAATTGGCAGTTTACAGATATGCAAAAGGACAGGGGATCTTCAAAGGGCCTCATATATGCAAGGGCTGGGGTTACATGGGAAAATAGCCGAATGAGCAGTTAATAGGTAAGTAGCCTGGAGATTTGCAAAAGCATGCAGGTATGCAAAAGGTCTGGGGATCTTCAAAGGGCTGGTGATTTTGGTTTCTGGCTCTGGTTTTTACAATACCGTATTTTTCGGACCATAAGATGCTCCGGACCATAAGACGCACCAGTTTTTAGAGAAGGGAAATGAAGAAAAAAAGATTCTGAAACAAATAGTGTCCGAAAATATTTTATGTGCATTAAAACCCAACGTTACAGTCATAAACACATGTAATCAACCCTGTAAAGTAAACAGCAGCATTTAGAACCATTTTAGAGCCGGGCAAGCACACAGAGACCACACAGAGCCGGGCAAGTAAAAAAACTTTTTTTTAAAGTATATGTGTAGGCTATATTTGGACCATAAGACGCAGGGACTTTTCCCCCCCACTTCTGGGGGGGGGGAAAAGTGCGTCTTATGGTCCGAAAAATACAGTAGTTGTTAATCTTTCCATAATAATGGGCAGCTCCAAATGGGGTGGGGGCGTGGGCTGCATTGCCAGGTGAGCTCCCAGGTCCTGTGTGCAGCTGCCAGCCAGGTTAGAACGTGCCTTCTTTAATCAGAAGCCCTAGTGTATGGCAGTAGAGACAGTTCCTGGCTTATGATAGTTCAATTTATGATTTTTTGACTTTACGATGATGTGAAAGTGATATGCATTCAGTAAAAACTGTACTTGGAATTTTGAATTTTATTTTTTCCTGAGCTAGTGTTATGTAGCACGATACTTTCTCATGTTAATGGTCAGGGGCAGAGGGCCACAGCTCCGAGGTCATGAGGGTAAGCAGCCGATGTTGTACCGCAGGCACTGTGTTAAATGCGTTTGCTCAGCGTGGGCTAATGTAAGAATTCTGAGCGCGATGTAAGAATTCTGAGCGCGTTGAAGGTAGGCGAGGCTAAGCTGTGATGTTTGGTAGATGAGGCTTACCAAATGCATTTTCAACTTAATGATATTTTCACCTTCAGTGGGCTTATCAAGACATAACCCCATTGTAAGTAGAGGAGCATCTGTACAAAATACTTTTGCAACTTTATTTTATAATTTCAAACCTGCAGGAAAATGCAAGAATGGTAGAATGGTAATAAGGAATTTAACTCAGCTGTTCAGTTTCCCCCGTTTGCTTTATCATTGTTGCTTTCCTCTCCCTTGCCCCTCTTTTTAAGTCATTTGAGAGGAAGTTGGGAGACACTGTGCTCCTTTATTTGGAAATATTTCAGTGAATGTCTTAAAAAACGAGGAATTCTCTTACTCTGCCCTCCCACAATGCTCAAAACAGGAAATGTAACATTGATACTGTCATCTAATCCATATTCAGGGATCCAGCCCAGTTGCTGCTGCTTATCACAGCTCTTTAGTTTCTCTTAATTTGGAGCAGTTCTGTAGCCTTTTTGGCTTTCTTTGCCTTGACAGGCCAGTTGTTTTGTAGAATGTCCCTCAATTTGAAGTTGTCTTTTTTCTCATGGTTAAATCCAGGTTTTATATGTTGGTCAGGAAAAACAAAGAGGTGATTTTGTGTTCCTTGCACTGAATTATGGGGTTATTTTATTTTATTTTTTTAAATATTGATTTTAGAGAAAGGAAGGAAGAGGGAAAGAGAGAAACATCACGTGAGAATGAAACATGGATTGGTTGCCTCCTGTACGCGCCCCACTGGGGATTAAACCTGCAACGTAGGTTTGTGTCCTGACCAGGAATCAAACCCACGCCCTTTAGTGCACAGACAACGCTCCAACAAATTGAGCCGCACTGGCCGGGAAGCATGATTATTTTGATTATCAAAACAGTTTATACTTTATGGAAGGGTTCACTGCTCTGTTCATTTAATTGCAAGTCTTGCTAGGGCCTGGGTGACAACTTGCCATGTGCAGCCTGTCATTTCCCCTTTGTCACCAGGAGGATTTCTCTGGCTTTTTGGCAGGCTCTTGTGTCACAACACCCTTACTGAGTGGTCAGGGCGCTCCTGGGTTCAGTAAGATGAGCGTGTAAGCGGCAATTCACTTGTCATGCCTATTCTTATGCTTTTGAGAGTCATTCAAAAATTTGTCATTCATACAACTCTTCTGAAAGCACACTCTGCATAGAAAAAGGTAGAGTTGATTATTTAGGTGTATTTCTGTCCCTTGTTAGTGTTGGTCTGTAGTTTTTTCTGTCGTCCTCGTTGGATTCTGAATGAGTTGAGGGTGTGGATTAGGTGATGTGTGTGACTCCCCATAGGCCTCCATCAAACCCAGTGCCCAATGGCAGCTCCAGCAATCAGATCAGCATCGCAGGTCCCGTTCATACCTTACAGCCATGGTACCTGGTCTCTCAAAAATCTTAGACTTTTCCTCTCATTCTGTTTTTGGGGCTCTAAACAACGTTTCCGTGGTATTCCACAGCAGAACTAATGTTGCCTTTCACTTTGCTTTTCAGCTGAACCTCTTACTATCAGTTTCTAAATAACCAGACCGGTCCGGCGGTGCTTGTAGACGGTCTGTCCAGGAGCGGCTGAGAGCCAGGCTGCAGGACACTTGAGGAACTGTACGTGGGCCTGTCCCCAAGAACCACTCCAGCGTGCTACTTACCGCTGACTGCAGGATGAAATACAAGCAGAGGGTTCAAAATCTGTTTCCCTTGTAAAAGCATCAAAATGCCAAAGATTAATCTGTGAGCAGCAGCACTTGCCTCATTAAATGGCCTCAAGAAATGTAAGTTTTTAAGAGGTAACCATGATGAGCACACGGTGAAATGGTTCTTAACAAAAGATGTGCAATGAAAATAGGTTGCAATAGATAGTGTAGAGAAGAACTTTATGGAAATACTGCTAATTAGGAAGCTTCTAAGAGTAAGGTTTCTTAAAGCGTGAAACACTGCAACACTTTTAACCACTGAGCATTCCACAGTGATTATTATTTTTTTACTTCTGGAAATGTTATTTCTACATTCAATATAATGTTTCTCCTGTCACTTTGAAATTTAGTTTGGAGTAGATTGGATGCTTATGAGAACACATGCTGCTTTTCTGGGAGTTCAGGGTGTTATCTCCTGTGTTTAAAAAAATACATTATTACTGGAGACCCAATTCGTGTACGGGTGGGGTCCGGCCGCCCACCCTGATCGGGGCGTTTGGGGCTGGGCTGGCCAGGAGAAGGGGCTGTGGGAGGTTGGCTGCTGGCCCTGTCCAATCAGGGCTGGGCTAGAAAGGGATAGAAGGGGGCTGCCTGGGGGGAGGGGCCACGGGAGGTTGGCTGGCCGGCCCCGCCCCTGATCGGGCCAGATGGCTGGCTGCAGTGCACATCATAGCTACTGGTCATTCTGGTCGTTCCAGTCACTGAGCGTTTATATATATAGTTATTTTGTTAATCCTCACCAGAGGATATTTTTTCCATTGATATTTTTTTTTAGAGAGTGAAATGGAGTGAGAGGGGGAGGCAGATAGGGGGAGAGGAACATTGATGTGAGAAAGATATGTTATTCGTTTGCCTCCTACATGCTCCTGAAATGGGGCTGGGGAACAAACCTGCAACCCAGGTACATGCCTTTGACCAGGAATTGAATGCATGACCCTGTGGTGCACGACTGATGCTCTATTACTGAGCCACACCAATAGGGCTCTATTTTGGGAAGGTAAAATATCATCATTATTATTGAATTTATTGGGTTGACATTGATTAACAAAATCATACAGTTTTCAAGTGTACAACTCTGTCATGTCATCTGCACACTGCATCGTGTGCTCACCACCAAAATCAAGTCTCTTTCTGCCACCCTTTGCCCTCCCTTTGCCCTCTTCTACCTCCTCCCTCCCCTTTTCCTGTGTTTTTGATGTGTTAGTTTCAGAGTCAGGGACCTCAGGGAAGGTCCCAGTGTCTGTCTTCCTTGAATTGCAGAGGGTTGCTGCCTGCACATGTGCATTATCTAGTGCGAACTTTTATGGCACAACAGCCAGTGTTTGTGCCTGGGAGTACCATCATGTGTGCTAACCGTACACACAGGAGATGAATAGCATATCTCTTGCATGCAGGTCGAGGTTACCAGCCTTCTGTACACTGCCTTCAGGTTTAGTAGTGCTTTTATTCAGTGGTTGTGCCTGTACCTGCTGCAGCAAATACATTTTACTAACAAAGACAGGGAGGATGAAGATGGCCCACCCTTAGCATCTAACACACTATATCAGGGATCGTCAAATACATTATGCACTTCTATGAATTTTCCTACAAATACCTATTTCCTGAGTGGGTTGGTTTTGCCTCTGATAGTCAGTGCAGCCTGCTTTTTAGATTGAAAGGGATTTTGAGCGTTCACACACTAGCCTAGAGAGGGTGTTCTGGAATGTGGCCAGCAGACCTCATTCTGCATGGCTGGCAGGCTTTCTCATCCCCTTAAAGCCCACCGTGTGTAGGTTGGTTACATGTCTGTCATTTTAAACAGGTCACTCGTTTTTCAACTCAGTTTAGGTTAGTGATGTATGTTGCTTGATAGGGCTGTATTTTGGGAAGGTAAAGAAGATCCATATTCATTCTTTGACATGAAATGAATGAAACAGGAAGATTGAATCTATTGTACTTCCATTTACTATTTAAAATACATGTTTAATGAAATATACTGTAAAATACCCAGTTTTGTGTATTATGTTGTATATATGATTTTTAAAAAGCCTTTCCAAAGAAATAAGGGCATGATTAATGTACTATACTATGACTGATGTAATTTGATGTACAGAGCAGTATGTGTTATTAAGGATCAAAATATTTGGCAGCACTTGATCTTGTGTTGAATCTTTTATTTCTGAAACAAACACCTTACAAAGTGCTGAGTAGGTGGTAGTGGTCCAACTTGTTTGCTAAATGATTATTTGTTTAAACCTGTACAGTTTCAAGAGTTTACTTATACAAAGAATGTACATACTTTCAAACAATTAATTTAAAAGGCTTTATATTATTTGGCTAGAAATTGCTGTTTTTAAGAAATGTGAATTTTTAAAAAAACAAAAGATTTTTGCTTCCTAACGTGTGTGTTGTGTGTGGATTCTTTAAAAAAAATTTTAATTGAAGTTTCTATTGCACTAACTTGTGGATTCATGTGCAATTGTAAGAAATAATTCAGACAGATCCCAATGGTAACATCTTGTAAAACTATAACACTTTATATCACAAGCAGGATATCGACATTGGTGTGCTCCGCCAATCTTACTCCGACTCCCCGTTTTACTTGCAGTGTGTGAGTTCTTTTGGCAGGATGAATAGTATGGAAAGAAATTTCTAAAGCATCATAATGCTTCATTAGTTGAAGGAATTTAAATTTTTCTTTGTTTACAAAACTGCCAGTTTCCCGAGTACTGTCAGCACAAATGGTTGTGTTGAAATTTAGCATTATTGAAGTAGCAATAAAAATGAATGTGTATTTCCCCCTGGTTTAACAACTCCATATCTTAAGTTCTCTTCTTTCACTGCCTTATAAGTGAGAGAGAATAGTGTCAGCGCAGTTTGTCACAGCGGCCGTTCATACAGCAGCCGGGATGCTGGTGAGAGACGTTACTCAGAGGCACTGGCTTCCTCGCCTCCTTTCTGGGCGCTCCTTCCACTAACCAGCTCGCCCGCCCCCTCGCCCTCCGCAGCGGCCGGCAGCTGCTGGGAACTTGAATAGGGGCACCCGTTAAGTAGTGACCCAATAAATACATTTTTTTCTTTTTTGAAATAGTTTTTAAAACTATTTTCGATTTAAAAAATGTTCAGTATTAGACATTTCTGTAGTGTTTGAATTTTAACATAAACTGTGAAAGTCTTTAATAAATAAACCCTGAAAGGCAAATTGCTATGAAATGTTTGGCATATATAGCATCTGGGTTTGTCTTTGTATACTCTGGAAACTTCTCTTACAAGATTGAATTCTTTCACACATTTTAACCAAATGGATTTTAGTTATCAGTGTATACACATGCACATGGAAATGATTTGAAAGTAGGTTGAAGACATTTTTTCCTAAAATACATCAACATCTCCAAACACTAAGGACATTCTCTTACATAACATGAATACCGTCACTATCCCTAAAACTATGCAGTGATCTCTAATAGTCTGTATTTTAGTTTCAGTTGTCCCCCAAAATGTGTCATAGCTTTTTATCTATGCTCTTATATTTTATTTGGTGGTTGTGTCTCTAGTGTTTTTTAATTTATACAACTCCTCTTTAGGTTTTGCTTGTTTTCATGGCGTTTTTTATAAAGCGCAGCCTAGTTATAGAAAGATGTGCCTGTGTTTCCTCATTAACTTCAGAATATCTAACATAGCAGAATACGTTCTTCTCAAGTACGTGGAATGTTTGCCAAGACAGACATATGCTGCACCACAAAACATACCCCAACTGATCTACCGCAGTGGTTCTCCACAAGGGGTGACCTTCCCTCGCCCCGGCCGGGACACTTGGCAATGACTGAAGACGTTTCTGGTTGTCCTGCCTGGTGTATGGGGGATATTATTGGTTCCTCGTTGGTAGCAGTAACTGGAACTGCTGAATGTCTTATGATGCACAGGACAGCCTCTCACAACAAATACAATACTTTGCCAGCGCAAACCCTGCTGTACATAAACTTCAGGGACCTCCAATCTCTAGACTTTATTTCCCTCACCTGGCTTACTTGTTTTCATACGGCACATGAGATATTTAGCTTATTTGTGTGTGTGGTTTTGTTTTTTTTTTTTCTGTTTCCTCAACCCATTGCAAACTGCATGGAGGGGAGCTTGGTTTTGTTTATTTCTGTAACCTAGCCCCCGGGACAGTGCCTGCGGTAGGCGAATGGATGAAAGAATCCACTGCTGCCAGTCACGTGGCCTCCCCTCCCCACCCCAGGTGACTGTTTCCTATCTCATGTAGCTCTTTCTTTATCTTCTCCCCTTCTCTGTGTTTCTACTGCCGTTGCCCATGTCAAGGCTCTCGGTTTGAATATCCTTGTTTGGAATATTGAAGTATCTTTACTACAAGAGCCCAGGGTTATTAACATCTTCCCTCCCCTTCCTCCAGAATATAAAACTTGCACTCCTGGGGCACACAAGGCTGTCTCAGCCCCTGCCCATCCCCCCGGCCTCATGCCCTCACTACCCTGTTTCCCCGAAAACAAGACGGTGTCTTATGTTAATTTTTGCTCCCAAAGATGCGCTAGGTCTTATTTTCAGGGGATGTCTTATTTTTCCATGAAGAAGAATACGATACATATTTATTGTTAAATGAAAATAAAGGAAATTTATTACCTCTATATGGTATGGTAGTACGGTAGTTGTCAACACAAACCAGACAAACTGTGAATCCTACAGTATCAAGAATTTACTCATTTATTCAATGACAATCATCTTCTGGAACATCATCATAACAATCCAATTCCTGAATTTCCTGGCGAATTTCTTGTGACTCCATTTCTTTCAGAATCAGTGGACCAAATCTCTCATGTTTAGCCTGGGGGAGGCCTTATTTTTGGGGAGATGCCTTATATTTCACTCAGAAGGAAACGTGTAAGTAGGTCTTATTTTTGGAGGATGTCTTATTTTCGGGGAAACACGGTAGTCATCTGTCAGGGTTCCTGAGTGCAGGCCACCAAGGACATCATTGTCTAACTCGAGCAGGATGACTTTCCTGGAAGGCAGTGGGGGCGTGGGGACAGACTGGGGAGCAAAGGGATAAGAACAGGGAGCATCACAGATGCATTTACCCCCAAAGCAGGAAGAGTTGACCCGGTCTCCCCTTCTGTGGCAGAGCCCCGGATTGGGTGGGCATCACTCAGGTGCTTTCGTCTTGGCCAAGCTCACTCCCTGTGAGGTACCCGTGTGTGTGTGTGTGTGTGTGTGTGTGTGTGTGTGTGGTAGTCCATGCTTCAGTACATTGTTGGAAGATGGCCTCTGAGCTAGTTACTAGTTTATTGCTATCAGCTCCAAACCCACCCCTTTTGCCCGGCTTTGAGATTCCCAGCCTGGCCCTGAGAACATGCCTCCTGTGCCCGCGGCTGCAGTAGCAGGCTTTGCGGCACTGGAGGTGCACGTGAGGCCCGGGGTGGGGCTCTGTTGTGTCCATTTCCTTTTTTGGGGGGGTGTTCACTGCCTGGGAGGCCTGGCGCACCCCTCCCGGTGAGTTGTCCTGGCACTTGGCAGAAAGTTTTGTGAAGCAGCTTCTGCAACCTGGAGGCCACAGCCTGTGCAGCAGCTCCGGGCCCAGAACCTCCCCACAGCCAGGGCTGCAGTCACATCTGCCCCGCCAGGTCTGTGTTCCCTTCCTGGGCACATTCTAAAGAGAGGAGACGGGGAGAGGAGGGAGGGAGAACACTGTGCCTTACATTTGCTGTTCTTGGGTTTCCAGAGTTCTCTTTCAGGTCCCTTTCAGTATTAGCTTGCTAGATTTTGTTACACTTTCCCTGTTGGAATTACTGATGTGGCTTCTGGGTCCTCACTGGCCCCTGACTCATAACACCTTTTTAGTTTCTGTCCCTGCAAGCAGGGCATGGCTGCCCACACACACACTCAGAAGAGTGTTCTCCCCATAAAGGAAGGGACTGGAAGTTGTGCAGCCAGAAGAAGATACTCTCCAGCGTGTCTCCCTCTCTGTGCTTTTTGTCTGTCCTGGGTGCTCACTCTGTCTCTGCCGGGATGCGTGCGCCCCTGGGGACTCCCAGCCCGCCCCACCCGCTCCTGGTCCCTCAGCCCTGGCTCGGAGAGCTCCCTGCCAGCCCTCCCGCCTCCCCAGGGGCCGCCTTTGCCTCCTCTGTGCTCCTTCACAAAGCAACGCTCGCATCCTTTTGCTGTTGCTGTGTCTCTGATCCCCGAGGCAGACAACCTGTTCTCTCTGGACCGTCAGCACATGGTAGGCGCCCAGTGCACACTTACTACGTGGTGTAATTGTTACTGAATTAATCAGTAATTTCTGTAGGCACTGGATGAGCATCCGTGTGCCTTGGGGCATTCACTGACAGGGATACCCATCAGGAAACCCTTGTGTGTCACTGAACAGTTACCCTGTTGCCCCGAAAATAAGACAGTGTCTTATATTACTTTTTTCTCCCAAAGTTGTGCTAGGTCTTATTTTCAGGGATGTCTTATCTTTCCATGCGCTAGGTCTTATTTTTGGAAGATGTTTTATTTTTCGGGGAAACACGGTAGTATTGATAAACAGCCCAACTGAGTTCATTTTTGTTTGTAGGGGAAGCACCATTTCCTGCCAAGTCCCTGAAGATAAGATGATAATGAGCAAGAGGCCTCGTCTCCTCAGAAAGTGCAGGGCCTGAGCGGGGGTGGGGTGTGAGGCAGACATGGTGTTAGGTTTGAACTGTGTCCCCCCAATTCATATGTTGAAGTCCTGATGCCACAGACCTTATTTGGAGAAAAGGCTGTTGCAGATGTAATTACTAGTGAATTGAGGCACATTGGAGCAGACGGGGGGGGGGGGGGGGGGGGGGGGGGGGGGGGGGGGGGGGGGGGGGGGGGGGGGGGGATGGAATCTGGACTGGAGTAGGCTGGGCCTCTGACGCATTATGAGTGGTGTCCACATAGAAAGGGAAAATTTTACCGGGAGAGTTCCATGCGAAGACTGGAGTGATGCTGCCACAAGCCAAGGAGCTCCCTGGAGCTGGAGAGAGGCCCGGCTCCACGTCCGCCCCGCACCTGCTCAGCGAAGCCCTGCACGTCCAGCTTCCCGAGCTGAGAGCATCGTCTCCGTGGCTCCAGCAGTCGGAGCAGATGGACAGGGGTGGGCTTTTCCAGGCCTGGCCCACTGGTTGGCTGCTGTCAGTATCTACTGCCCAGCCTGTGAGGTGATTCCTGATGGAAACGATCCTGAGTTCCGTATTCTGCCCAGGCTTTGACACCCTGGCACAGAGCAGCTGTTACAGGAGCAGCTGGAAATCTGCCATCTATTAAATGTTGGCCGCCCTGGCCGGTTTGGCTCTGTGGATAGAGCGTACACCTGCAGACTGAAGGGTCCCGGTTCAGTTCCGGTCAAGGGCACATGCCTGGGTTGCGGGCTCCATCCCCAGTGGGGGATGTGCAGGAGGCAGCCAATCCATGATTCTCATCATTGATGTTTCTCTCTCTCTCTCTCTTTCTCTCTCTCTCTCCCTGTCTCTCTCTCTCTCTCTCCCTCCTTCCCTCCCTTCCTCCCTCCCTCCCTTCCTCTCTGAAATCAATAAAAATATATTTTTTAAAAATGTTGTCAACAACATAGTTTAAAATGGGACTGACGAGACAAAATGCCTCTGCAAGGCCTGTTGACAGCTTCTGTGCCAGTGGAAGCCTGTGCTCAGGTTTGGTGAGAGGAGGAAGACCAGGGAAAAGGAACTGGCTGACAGCAGTAAGAGCCGCATCTGTGAGCACCACGCCCAGTGCTTTACCGATGCCACCTCCCTTCGCTTCACTGTACTTCCTGCCACAGGTGCGGAACGGAGGCAGCGGGGCTCCCTGCCTTGCCCAGGGCCCCACAGCTGTCAAACGGTGCTGCCCAGACGGCCATCCAGGCCTGTCTGACTCCAGGGCACACCCGCCCTCCGGTCCGAGGCCTTCAGTCCTGGGAGAAACGTCTGGAGACCCGGCTGCAAGCCTGGAAGGACTTGCTCGTTGCCACGTGCAACGCAGGAGCTTAGTCTCTAGTGCCGTGAGGAGAGGGGCTTCTCCGCCTACTGAACGCAGGTGCCCAGCCAACAAGGGGCACGGGCACGTGGGGGTGGCCTGCAAAGCTACACCTCTACAGCGGCTTCCGTGCCACGGATGGTAGTCACTGTAGTTTTAGCTGCTGGTACTGTTCACCAGCAAGAGTGAGTCAAACAGTGGAAGCGACCGTAACGAATGCCCTGCTGGCCTCAGCACCCTCGTCCCCGCCCAGCGGTGCAGGAGAGCAGGCACCCAGGCTCAGGGCAGGGAAGGGCTAATCACCAGAAGGGGTCTCTGTCTTGGTTTAGGCTGCAGTTGAGATCACCCTGGGAAACGTGCTGTGTCCCGGGGATTTAAAAGGCACACAGCCCAGCTCCTGAGCCCCCTGTTCTAGAAGCTCCTACCCCTCCCCATGCTCAGGCATCAACTAGGAAGCATGTTTATGAGACATAACCCACCCTCCCTTAGCGCCCTGGATTGCACCAGATCAGCCAGCCACGGGGGCGTTTTGCGAGAGATCAGGAAACAAAGTCACGTGAACTGAGGTGCATAGAGAATGTGCCTTCAGAACCAGCTGCCTTCCATGCCCCTGTCCTTTCTGAGACCCGTTGTGTCTCCCATCCAGATCATCCACCTCCCGTTTTGCTTTACCTACTCCAGCTGGCAGCTATTACCGGTGACCAGGAGGGTCCCAGCTACCGGAGGTGGTGAGTGTGGGTCCTTTCGGGCTTAGCTGGCTCCTGGCTTGGGGACCTGCTGCAGGATGGTATGGTTTGCTGTCTGGGTTTCCCTCTGCCCCACTGGGGCTGGGAGAGGGGGTGCTTGAGATGAGGTCAGGGTTAGTGAGAGCTACTATTTCTAGACCCAGTGCATAGACGACGAAACGGAGGCGTAAAGCTACTTGCCACACAGCCAACCCTCGGCAGAGCTAGACTTTGAGACGGTCTGTGTCCTGAGTCCACCCAGGTACATAGCAAGGTGGCAAATGAGCAGTGGAAGCAAGCAGGACAGGTGTGGCCCTCCCCGGCCCCTGAGACGGCCTGCCTCTACGCTGTCGGGTCAGGGCCAGCTCCTAAGCCTTTTCTGTCCCCCGCCACGGAGTCTGTCAGAACCCCAAAGACTTTTCTTGTCAAACCAAGCTACTGTGACAGGCCCCGCATCACAAAACAACTCTCAAGAGACAAAAATAAGACTTTGGGGTTTTCCTTGGTGCTCCTGACCGTGGCCTCCCAGAGCCGGTCAGCAGGTGCTGGGAGGCCCGGGGCAGCGTGGCGGCTGCGCTCGCCTGGACCTAAAACCACCTCCTCCTCCTCCTGTAGGCCAGCAGGAAGCTTGTGGAGCTCTCTATGAAGATTTCCAGATCACGGATGGTCAGGAAATTCAGGATCCTACTCATTTTCCCCAGAAGGACCTGAATCTTCCGAGCTGTTGAATCAAATTCCACCTCCAGAATTGCTTTCATCTTCATTTCACTCAGCTTCTCTGGGTTGATGAACTGTGGGAATTCACGGAAGGCTAGGTGAGGGTACATGCTGCAGACCCCTGTGGCCAGGATGGAGTCTTCCCTGGAAAGGCCACTCTCCAGGGCAAATCTCTGCTCCCAGCCCAGCCACCAGCACCCTTTCTGCTGCTTCCCGAGGACTCGCGCTGGGCCGGCGCCCCCGGCCACCCCCAGCCTGAACCCAAGCCAAAGGGCGCCAGCTCCTGAGACCTGGTGTGGGCTGCCACCCAAATGCAGCGCCCCCTGGGGGCACCCGCTCTTCCCCATGGGTCCCCTCCCCCGGAGGCCCTGCCACAGCTGGGAGCCTGTCCGGTGTCTGCTGAGAGCCGCACTCCCGCTGCGGGCTCACTGGAGCGTCTGGGTTTTGCTGGGACAAGGCCCTGCCCCGGAGGCCACTTCTACTCCAATTCCGCCTTGGTTTTAGCTACGGAAGGCCGAGCAAAGGGTCTCCCAGAAGAATGCTTAAGAATACCAATATGTCCTATCTCTATGAAGTATCCCACTTATGAAATGTTTTCACACAAAGCGTCTTATGGAAGCCGTACAGCGACACTGTCATTTTATAAACGCCAACAGTCTCAGATAGAGCAAGAGGCTGCCTGTGTCACATGGGATGTGGAGGGGCTGGCGTGTCCTCAGGACTCCCTGCTGCCTGGCCTGGGAGGACCCGCACATCTGTGCTGACTCAGTTCCTTTGGGGTTACCCCCCTCCGCTGGCACAGGACTCTGACCATGTCAGCCACTCACCTGCCTTTTGGGCATTGGTTTCCTTTGCTGACCCCGACCCTCCTCAGTGGCACCCAGGTCCTCGCGCCCTCTCCATTCTAGCTGCCCCCTCTTAGCGCCTCTCCATTGTGCAGGGACACTCGGAGAGACCTAAGTTTGCATCATCTCTTTACTGAGGCGGCTGTCTGGGAGGCCCAGGTAGGTGAGAAGGTTGGGACTTCATTCTTTAGCTTGTAAACCAGCCGCCTTCCTGGGCAAATGGGCCGGGGTGGCCAGCTGTCTGGATCTGCGGGCACTGTCCCAGCTTTAGCTCTCCAAGTCTCCTGTCCCGGAAAACGCCCCCATCCTGGGCAAACTGGGGCAGCTGGTCACCCCAACCTGCCACATTCTCTCCTCTCCTTTCAAATGTCAGTCACACAGCGTAATTGTGCTTGAGTCTGCTTTCTCCACCAGCCTGCTTCTCCGTCTGGCCCACTTCCCACAAGACACGTCCGTCTGTCTGTCTCCCCCGGCAGCCCTACTGTGAGAGGCTGGAATGGTGGGTCTGTGAACAGAGCCCTCTGCGGAGTGGGGCGGGGAGCTGGCGCAGGAGCAGGATCGTATGTGTGTCTCAGAGGGCAGCTAAGGAGGTAGACTGGGCAGGGGCCGTGCGGATGGAGAGGTTCAGATCCCAGAGTCCCAGGCCTCCGAGGTTTGCCCGGTTCCCGCCTTCACTCTGGCCCTCAGGAAGGGTCTCCATAGCCCACCGTCTTGCCTGTCACAGTGAGAACTCGGGTCCAGACTCACCATTCGGAATGGGTTGAACAGTGGCCCCCAAAAGACATGGCCGGTAACCTGGAATGTTACCGTATTTGGAAATAGGATCTTTGCTGGTGTAATTAAGTGAAGGACCGCGGATGAGGACTTGGGGGGGGCCCTAACCCCAATGTCTGGTGTCCTTATAAGAGAAAGGAGAGGGCGGTTGATGTGCAGAGAGAGGAGAGAGAGGAGAGAGTGAGGACAGACGCAGGGACTGGGGTGTGGCTGCCCCAGGCCAAGGAATGCGAGAACCAAGAAGCTGGGACCAAGAAGCTGGGAGAGACAAGGAAGGATTCTCCCTTAGAGCCTTTGGGGGTAGCTGCCACCTCGATTTTAACCCTTTAGCTCCCAGAACTGTGAGAAAATAAACTTCTGTTGCTTTAAATCCCGCAGCTGTGGTCATTTGTTACAGCAGCCGAGAAAACCAACACTCCTTTGGGACTTGCTGCCGGACTGGGCAGGGGCCTGGGAAATCCGGGCAGTCATTTCTTTGGAAATGAGTGTGTATGGGGAGGAGGGAAGGGCTGAGGACACACATTCCTGCTTTATTTCTGGCCCTGCTGGGTGACAGGGCTGGGTGAGTGTCAGACAAGGCGAGGCAGGTTGATACTGTGGCCTATTTTTTCCATGGGTCGGAGTCACACAGAACAGCGCCCGGGCCCATGGCATGGCCAGTCCGAGCCGGGGGGCCCGGGTGCAGGTGGGCAGAGGTGAGGGGAGGGGAGACCTTACCCCGTACTTGGTGCCCAGGTTTAAGGAAATGCGTCTTGTCTTGTGGGCGAAGCAGAAGATGACCTCATCTTGGCTCTTGACGTGCACCTTGATGTGCCGGTTGATGTCTAAGGAGATGGACTGGAGGGGGGGCGCGTGCACGTGCAGGTCCAGGTTCCACCAGTTCCAGGCCTTCTGGTGCTTGTCTTTGGCAAAGTAGTAGCCCAGGTTTTGGCTCAGGCTCAACCTAGATTGAGAAGTCCCATCAGGCAGCTGGCATTGGGCCATGGGGCAAGGGGCGAGGCAGGCCTGCTCCCTCCCCCCACCCCCCCTTTCTGGCTTTAACCTTTGCCCACAGACAGCCCCCAGGCGCCCGCAGGTCTTGGCAGGTGGGAGAAGTTCCAACCAGGAAGGCAAGCCCAAGCCGAGGTGCAGCCCTGAAGCCCTCCTGGGCCAGGCTCTTGTCTTGCCTTGTGCCCGGGCCCCACCCCCATGCTCTCCTCTCAGTGCCAGGGGCTGCCCAGTGTCTCCATGCTCTTTCCCTCCTCAGGGCTTCACCACGTTCTTTTCTCTGCCTGGAACCGACTTCCCTCCCTGCGTGGCACAGCTGGCTCCTGCTTAAGAATCATTTTCTCAGAGGCCCTTCCTGACCAGCCCCTCTGGTTCCCTATGTCACTCTCCATCTGCTACTAGGGCCAGTCGTGACTCCCAATGCCTCAGTTTCAACTGCGGAAGTACTTCACTCAGAGGGTTGCTGTGAGGATCAAGGGCCTGTACATAGCGATAACTTGGTCAACATCAGAACATCCTTACAACCATGGCGGAGAAAGGGGCAGCGCGTGGGGAGCAGATCCTGCTGGCTCTGCCCTGTGATGGCTCCTATCCCAGTTCTCTCACTAGGCCTTCCCTGCCCTGGGAACCCAGCTCTGGGCTGAGCCTTCCTCAGGGAAATGGGCTCTAGAACCCCCAGATATCTAAATCTGGAGGTTCCTCCTCAGGGGCTGGAACGAGCCCAAGCTGTGGAGTGTGTAGACCCACGCACAGGGACCCTGAGTTCAGGCAGGTCGTGGGCCCTCACTGCGGGGGACCCTGAAGCCTGGCAGGAGGTCTGGTCTGAGATTCCTCAAGTCCAGGGCCTGGAGGTTGGGCCCAATGCTGGGGTTTAGTTTCCAAACACTCAGTTTACCTTTCCCGAGGAGACGGGAATAAAAAATGACCCAAGAAATAGTCAGTCCTTAAACAGCTTGGCTCTAAATCCTTTCCAGCGCCTGGGGTGCAGCGGGGGAGCTGGGCACACCCTGAGGGTGAGGAAGTGGGCTGGGACCTTGGAGCAGCTGTGGACACTTCTAGCATTGATTAGGCTGGGACGGGGTAGGGGTGGGGGTGGGGCCTGGCTGAGCAGCTTTGTGTTCCCAAATGACTTCGCGGTTCTTTGCCACAAAACCGATCTCCCTGTGACGAAGGGACTGCAGTGCTCACGATGAATTAATTCCCTCAGGGATCTTTCCCTCACAGGACTGCATTTTCCTTTGGTATGGCTGCCCCTGGGAGGGAAGCAGCTTGGGGATGGGGAGCTCATTCTGCCCTGTGCAGTGACATTTTGGGGGTGATGGGTGTGTGAAACTCAAGCAAGTTTCTTGCCCCTGTACTTGGTGCTTCTTGTATCTAGTACCTTCTTCCACCTTTCAGATATCATTATTATACTAAGGGACCTTCAGAGAACAAAGTACACGGTCAGTATAGAAAAAAACCCACACAGAGAAAATATTCTTAAAAACCAAGGCTTGGAATGTGAAAATCCTTGGGTCTTTTTTTTGGGGGGGGTGGGGGTGGGGGTGGGGGGGTGGGGTGGGGCAGTGGGAGGGGTTCAGAATTAATAAGAAAAAAGTTTGGCTTTGACTATCAGTAACAAAGAAAGTATAAGCCCTAGCCAGTTTGGTCTAGTGGATAGAGCATCAGCCCGTGGACTGAAGGGTCCTGGGTTCAGTTCCAGTCAAGGGCACCAACCTTGGTTGCAGGTTCCTGGGCCCTGGTTGGGTGCATGCAGGAGGCAACCAATCAATATCTCTCACATCGATGTTTCTTTCTGTCTCTCCCTCTCCCTTCTGCTTTTTCTAAAAAAAAAAAAAAAAAAAAAAAAAGAGAGAGAGAGAGAAAAGAAAAAAATCTCCTCAGATGAGGATTAACAAAATAACAACAACAACAAAAAAGAAAGAAAAAAAAGAAAGAAAAGATAGAAAGAAAATAAAATACTAATCCAAGATAATATGCACTTCCCTCTACATGTCCACCTAGAACGCAGTGGGAACAGGAAACCTGAAAAGGTACCTCACAGAGATGGGCAAAAATCTTGAAGTGACTGACTACCTTGAGTTGGTAAGGTGAAGTATTCCACCATTATCAGAAATGGTAACTTAGGAACTAAGTTCAGTTACCATGAAATATTTAGAATTATATTTTTGAATATAATACATGGGCTTCCAGAGCACTCACCACACCCTCCTCTCTGAGGCCCCCAGAATAGAGGGGTCCTGGGTCTTTCTAAGATCATTCTATGATGTTTGACTCTCAAGAGGTGTAAAGGAGATGATGCAATAGAGGTGGTTTCCCTGAGTCTGTGACTGCTATTTCACCCCTGGGGAGAGCATTGGGGGGAGGACAGTATGCCTTGTCTGAGGTCAGGGACCTGTATTACTTCAGACTCATGGCCTAAGCTTACCAGATCTCTCTGTTTTCATCATAGATGGTGACATGGCCGGAGTTGTTGATAAGGGCCCGAACAAAAGCCTCCTCACTGTTGTCCAGGATGATATATGTGGTCTGGCCCGGTTTTGTATGGAAGAAAAGCATAGCCAGCCGTCCTGATGGGTAACTGGAAGATGGTTAAGGCACAAGCAGTCCCTTGGGATCCCCTTGCAGAGCCCTGCAGAGAGTGCAGGCCTTAGTAAAACCATGTCCCGCCCCCAATCCTACACTTTTTAGGTGCCATAGATGTCAATATAGGTGTCCTTGTGCTCCAGTGGATACTATATCTGGCCTGATTCATCAGAAAAGAGAATTCGAAAGACATTCTCATTGGGGTGGATAATTAAATTTTTGTCATCTTGATCCATCTGGAAAGAAAAAACAAGCCTGTGACAGGTGTCCAGGGGTTGATTGTCCCAATTCAGAGTACAGGGTTGTCACTATTGGACCTATCACTGCCAGCAACCTGTTAGGTAATCTGTACAGGAAACCTCTTGGGGCCTCAGATTACCTGTCCATGTGATGAGGAGGCGGAAATGGATCACTCTGTGTGTGTGTGTGTATGTGTGTGTGTATATATGTGTGTCTATGTGCGTATGTACGCATGTATGCATACATACATGTATGTGCGTAGGTGTGTATGTGTGTCTATGTGCATATGCGTGTATGTATGTGTGTATATATATGTGTATGTGTGTGTCTGTGTGTCTGTGTGTGTGTGTGTGTGTGTGTGTGTGTGTGTGTGTGTGTGTTGGGGGGTTTATACCCACTCACGCAGAATTTAAACCATCATTTCAATCACTGTAGTAGTTATTGGTTGTTTGTTTCCTAGGGCTGCCATAACAAAGAACTACAATCAGGGCAGTTAGAATCTCTAGAAATGTATTCTCTCACAGCTGTGGAGATGAGAAGCCTGAAACCAAGGTGGCAGCAGGGTGGCTTCCTCCTGGAGGCTCCGAGGAGGAATTTATCCCATGGCTCTCTCCACGCTTCTGGTGATGGCTAGAGATCCCTTTTTTTCTTGACTTGTACTGCATCGCTCTAGTCTCTGCCTCCACATTCACATGGCCTTCTCCCCCAGTGTCTCTGTTTCTCACGTGTCTGTTTTCCTGTAAGGATACCAGTCATATTGAAGTAGGGGCCTACCCTTCTCCTATATGACTTCATCTTAAATAATTACATCCTCAAAGACCAATTTTCCAAATAAGGCCACATTCTGAGGCACTGGGGGTTAGGACTTAAACATGTCTTTTTTTTGGGGGGGGGGGACTATTCGAAGTTTTATTTTTTTCTTGAATCTGAATGAATTATATATATTTTTGAAATTGTTCATTTTATGTAAATTTTCAAATGTGTTATTATAAACATTTTTCTTATACGTTATACCGTTTTAAAAAACTTCTACTGCCTCTGTTATATCCTTGTCTCTATTCTTTATATTATTAATATCTTCTCTTTTTTTCCCCTGAGTCAACCTTGACCTAACATTTGCCCATTTTACTAGTCTGTTCAGAGAACCAGCTTTTGGTTTGTGTATTTTATTATTTATTTGGTTTCTATGGTATCAACTTCTGCTCTTATCATGACCACTTGTATGTATCTACTTCTATGGGTTTATATATTAGTTTATTTAATTTTAAAAAATTTAATAAATCTTTATTGTTCAGATTATTACAATTGTTCTTCCTTTCCCCTCCCCCAACAGCTCCCGTCCACCAGGTTTCTACCCCATCCTCTGCCCTTACCTCCTCTGCACTGTCCTCATCCATAGGTGTACGTTTTTTGTCCAGTCTCTTCCCAAACCCCCGACTCTCCTTTTCCCCTGAGAATTGTCAGTCCACTCCCTTTCTATGCCCCTGATTCTATTATATTCTCCAGTTAATACTATTCATCAGATTTTTTATTCCCTTGGTTTTTAGATTCACTTGTTGATAATTACATATTTGTTGTTCATAATTTTTATCTTTACTTTTTTCTTCTTCCTCTTTTTAAAAGAATATCTTTCAGCATTTCATGTAATTCTGGTTTGGTGGTGATGAACTCCTTTAGCTTTTTCGTATCTGTGAAACTCTTTATCTGACATTCCATTCTGAATAATAGCTTTGCTGGGTAGAATAATCTTGGCTGTAGTTTCTTGCTATTCATTATTTTGAATATTTCTTGCCATTTCTGTTTGGCCTGCATAGTTTCTATTGAGAAATCAGCTGACAATCATATGGTGCTCACTTGTAGGTAACTAACTGCTTTTCTCTTGCTGCTTTTAATATTCTATCTTTGTCTTTTGCTCTTGGAATTTTAATTATGATGTGTCTTGGAGTGGTCCTCTTTGGATTTCTTTTGTTTGGGGTTCTGTGCGCTTCCTGGACCTGTAAGTCTATTTCTTTTCCCAGGTGGGGGAAGTTTTCTGTCACTACCTTGTTTCCCTGAAAATAAGATATCCTCCAAAAATAAGACCTTCTTACAGGTTTCCTTCTGAGTGAAATATAAGGTATCCCCCCAAAAAATAAGGCCCCCCCCTAGGCTAAACATGAGAGATTTGGTCCACTGATTCTGAAAGAAATGGAGTCACAAGAAATTCACCAGGAAATTCAGGAATTGGATTGTTATGATGATGTTCCAGAGATGATGACATGATTGTCATTGAATAAATGAGTAAATTCTTGATACTGTAGGATTCACAGTTTGTCTGGTTTGTGTTGACAACTACTGTACTACCGTACTGTATAGAGGTAATAAATTTCCTTTATTTTCATTTAACAATAAATGTGTACCATATTCTTCTTCATGGAAAAATAAGACATCCCCTGAAAATAAGACCTAGCACATCTTTGGGAATAAAAATTAATATAAGACACTGTCTTATTTTCGGGGAAACAGGGTATTACTTCAAATGGATTTTTAGCATCTTGCTCTCTCTCTTCTTCTGGGACCACCATAATTCTGATGTTGGTACACTTGAAGTTTTCCCAGAGGCTCCTTACACTATCTTCACATTTTTGGATTCTTTTTTCTTTTTGTTTTTTTATATTCTAAATTTTTGACTAGATTCTTGTGATCCTCTAGTCTACTTTTAGGTATGTGTATAATTTTTTTAAATTTCAGTCAGTGTATGCTTAATTTCTAGTTGATCCTTTTTCATATCCTTGAGGATCTCATTAAATTTATTGGCCTTTTCTAGAAAATTCTTGAAAAACCTCATAACTGTGGTTTTGAACTCTGTATCTAGTCTTTTGTTTTCCTCCATTTCCTTCATTTGTGACTTGCGTCTTTGTATCCACATTTTAGCTGCTTCCCTGAGTTGATGGAGTGGCTTTGTATACTAGGTGTCCTAGCAGGTCCTAGTGGCTCAGCCTCCCCAGTTACCTGATGTGTGCCCCTTTGTGTACTGTTTGTGCAGTCTTGTTGTATTTAAGCCTAGATTGTTGTTTGTATCACTTGTGGAAATTGACCTCCAGGCTAATTGGCTCTGAGGATCAGCTGTTCTCCACTGGGAGAGCTTCTGTGCTTAGCTTGGATGGGGTAGAGTCTCAGGGTGGAGCAGACAGCCTTGGTTTCCCATCAGCCCTGCCTAAGAGGCCCCTGTGGCTCATTGTCCCTCAGCAATGGCTGCATGCACCTCTGAGAGAAGGCTGCTCTCAAGTTTCGCCTGCTGCCAGTCAGTCCAGTTTCTCCACGAATGAGTCTGGGTATCCAAAGTCACCCAGAACTGGATTTCAGTGCAGTTGGGAGATTTTGGTTCCCTCCTGAAAGAGAAAGCTAGCTGTTTGCATGCTGCCTGGTCTCTCCGTGTGCCATGAGAAGCCAGCCACGTATTCAGCCACCTGTCCTTTCCACAGGCGTGGGTCTGTGCATCTTTGTCCCCCACAGCTTCTCTGAGTCTCAGTGTCTTTTTCTCTTTTCTTCTAGTTGTAGAGTTTCCACTCAGGCAGCTTCCCAGTGGTTCTGGACGATGTCCACTCTGTCTTCCAGTTGCAGTTTTGAAATTGTTGTGCGAGGCAGCAGTATAGGTGTTTACCTATGCCTCCATCTTAGTTTCTCCTATTTAATTTTTCTAATCCTTTGAATTGAATGTTGAACTCATTGTTTTTCATTTCTTCTTCTTCTCTGTCTTCTTCTTCCTCCTCCTTTTTTTTAAATATAAACATGTAAAGCTATGTTTCTCTCAAAATACTGTTTTAGCTCTTTCACATGAGTATATTTACATCTCATTCCATTCTAAATATTTTCAAAATTACCAATATTATTTCTTCTTTAACACAAAAGTTATTTCCCAGTGGGTGTGGCTCAGTGGTTTAGTGTTGCCTCAAGAATCAAGAGGTTACTGCACAAGTTGCATGTTGTGGTCTTGATCACAAGAAGGAGGCATCCAGGGGAGGCAAACGATCAATGTTTCTCTCTCATCAATGTTTCTATCTCTCTCTCTCTATTCCTTCTTGCCTCTCTAAAATCAATAAAAACATAATTTTAAAATGTTATTTACAAGTGTGTTTTTAAATTTAATACATACCAGTTGCTTTTAGTTATGTTATTATTATCACTAATTGAAATGCATTGGGGTAAGAGACATAGCCTATATATCAAGTGTTTAGTATTTGCTGGGGTTTGCTTTGTGGCTTAGTGTGTGATCAATCATTGTAGCTCTTTCATGTCTGCTTGAAAAGGATGCCCTCCTTATGCTCTGGATTATCAGAACACATTGGTCACTTGATCTTCCCCCTCCCTTTTCCATTATACAACCCACCTCAACCACACTCATTCACACGCTCACTCTTCTGCTTTTTTTGGTTTTCTCTATTTCTGGTATTATTTTGGGTTTTCTCTATTTCTGGTATTATTTTGGGTTTTCTCTATTTCTGGTATTATTTTGGGTTTTCTCTATTTCTGGTATTATTTCTTACACATGCTACTCTGTATTTAAAGGAATGCTTTCTTACATTTTCTCTAAATTTCCCAGGTGTTTGGAGCCAGCTTTTTATGTCCTCTGGCCTTCCACATTACTTTAACTAGAAGCCAAACCAGTGATATACAAGATACTGTTTAAAAACGTTAAAAAATCCTTTATTCAGGAAAGCTTGCAGCAGGATTACTGATAGTTCTAATAGGTTGTCCAGGGCCAGCCACAGACAAATGTCTGACATTGGCCTACATCAGAGTCCCTCTGAAGAGGCTCATAACCAGTACACCCAGTGGCCAGCTTCAGAGAACAACAGGGCAGGATCTAATAAGCTTCACAAGCAGCATATCCACAAAGAGATCTCAGGAGGCACCAAAACCCACTGAGGCAAATTCTGCTTTGTGTGAAAAACACCTGCACAACAACTTGCATACTGTGTTGGATCAAGTTCATGCATAAATGAGCCTATAGCAA